ACTCCAGGGTTCCTCACAGTGTTACTGGAGGCCAAGGTAATGCCATCCAGAGTAAGAATCTGGTTAGATACCATATTTCTAAGCTTTTCAGGGCCGAGTACAATAACCTCAGTTTTATCTGAATTATATGAAACAGCCTCCGAACATTATCAGCTGCTTGCCTGTTTTTAGCAAAATCTGTTTGGTCTGCTTGAATAATTTTATAAATAACTTTTTCTATTTGAAATGCTATAAAAATTAGGCAATACCTTATAGTCTGACTCGAGGAGGTTGAGGGGCCTAAAATTACCTCTGTGAATCCTTCCCAGGTTTGGGAAGTCATATTATTGTTGCAGGCACAAAAGACCGAGGGAGTGCCGCCTTTTGAAAAGTATTCTTGATCGTGTTTGTGAGAGGGGTTAGTAGATTTTTGTTAAGTCTTGAAGTATTCAGTCGGAAATCTATCGGGGCCTGGGGCTTTTTTGTTTTGTAACAATTTAACAGCGAGAAGAAACTCGTCCTCTGATGTTTCTTTCTCCACTATGTGTTTATCTGTTGTGCTAATCTTTGGCAGAGGTAATTCACTTAGAAATTGTTTTATTTCAGTACTGTCACTATCATAGTCGGTCTCATATAAGGCTTGATATTAGTTTTTAAATTCCAGATTTATATCTTTTGGGTTTTCTAAATATCTGCTGTAGTTTGCCAGTCTTATTACCAAATTCATAATGCTATCTAGTTCTGGCCATTGCAGCTTCAGCTTTGTTTGTACACATATTAGTGATTCTGCAAATACTTGTTTTGTTCTCGAGTGATCAATTTCCAAGGTCCTTATGTTGCTATTACTATGGTGGTGGCTATCCATGTGTAGCATTTCATTCCAAGACTAATTTAAGGTAAGATAAGATAACCTTTATTAGTCCCACACGTGGGAAATTTCATCATGTGGACAGCAAATTATAAAAGAAAACTCCGCTTAGTATTTGTCATGTGTGGCAGGCAGGATGGACCCAAATGCAGGACTCGTACACGGAACGTAAACTTAAAGCAGCAGCTTTACTCGCTGAGAAAAATCCTCCATAAAGTAACTTTACAAAAAACAAACCAAAACCCTGAACATGGTAACTAGAATCACTAGAAAATAAGGTGCACAGAACTAAGAATGATAGAAACCAGAAGCACAGCGAAACTTACAGCACATGAGATGGTACAATGCAACAACGGACAGAGGACAACACAGGGCTTAAACACACAGGGGAGTAACGAGGGAATGGGAAACAGGAGGGAACCACAGCTGGGTCTAATCTGACATAACAAGACAGGGAGGAAACAAATCTGAATGCACTGAACACAGGACAAGGAACTATCAAAATAAAACAGGAAACATGAAACCTTCACAAAGACGCAGACTAGACACTGTGAAGTGGAGACGTGACTGACAAGGGGAACAAAGGGAACATGAAACACGGAGACGAGAGTAAGTAAACATGGAACAGAGGGAAGATACAGTGAACTAGAAACTATAAAAGTAACACAAGCAGAAAACAATAAAGAAAACCAAACCCATGAAAAACAATAAATCAAAGAATATAACTTAAACCGTGACAGTATTATTTGTCTTATGGATTCTATCTTTAAAAACAAGTCTGGAGTCTGATACAGATCTAAATGGTATTTTGCTGAGATCCAAGTGGCAGCACGCCCCATGCTTTAGCTTACAACAGCAACCATAAAAACAACTGAATGTTGAGTTTACAAGCTACACATGAATGCAGCATGAGTCCAGTACAGAGGGGGGCAGCTATGCAGTGCAAGAAGAGTCCCACTTCTAATATCAATGTGTTGTTTACGAAAACAAACATCACCTGCTAGTCATCTCCTTTTTGACTCATGCCTGTGGCCTCATATCACAAAACATCAGCACAATATTCAGCTCTGTGCTGCACGATATAATGACAACACTCAAAATACTTTATTGGCCCTCCAACAGAATGTAAAATGCTGCAAAGGATTGTAGACAAATCATTTCAGGACCCCTTTGCTGCTTTACAGGAATAACCCTCTACTATTGATTTATTTTGTACATTTTGTGCCTCAGTGCTCCCCGTGACTGATTCTTTGCAGGAAACAGCCCTCTGGTTACCATAAGGTTGCATCATGAGATGAAAATAGGGAGGTGCCGTTTCCCCAGGCTGTTTCTGATCTCTCCACTAGCACTCCTCACATGCCTAATAAGTGTCCTGCTTTGGAGATATTACTGTCCTACAGAAGCTACACAGGGTGTGGCTGTCAAAGAGGGGGTCCAAAGACCACCGTAGCAGGCGGGGATTTCATTAGCTTCCCTTTGCAGTAATGGTTGAACTAGACAGAATATCAGGGCTTAGTCAGACTTCTAACTATATCAGAATGAATTTGAGAGGTGAGCTCAAAACCAGAACTGGCTTAGGTAGAGGCAGCCATATTACTTTAAGGCTGGACAATGTAATTCCAACTGTAATGCAGGCTGTTCTAAAAGTTCCTTGAAAAGTCTTCAGTTGACCAAAAATGCCGAATCACAGTTACTAACATGTACCAGAAACAAATAACGAGAGGTTGTATTTTCCTCATATTAGTGTCTCTTTGTTGCCGCCCTGTTAAGTTCACACTGTTGGTTTACTTGTGGTTCCCAGAGTTTCTAACCAGCTTCCAGTTAGGATTTAGGAAACAGAGCTGTCCTCTTTTCTTCCAAGATTACACTTCAAACTTTCCTTTTTGATAAAGCTCAGAGTTTGGGCTGGATCAGGTGACCATGAACCATCCCTTAGCACAGGGTCAGACTGCTGGGGGACTTTGCCTGATGTTACATGATGGGTGTCACAAAAGATCTTTTAGCTCAGTGATTCCAAATATCAAGTCTCCAGTTATTGGTCTGACCCAAAGGTGGCCAGTGGCTTGGAAAAACATGGAAATCTGTCCTCCAACATTAAGTATTATGTAAGTATTATGCCCCTAGTCTGGTTGTGATCTTTGAGCTTTATTTTGACACAATGAGCACTTTCTTTTGGTTGAACTATTTTAAGCACGTTGTAACTGTTTTGTAAAGTGCTGTACAAATTAATGTTTTATTCTGATGCACTTACCCTTCCCTCGCCTCTTTTCCCTCCTCAAACATATAATATACAGTGGGGCAAAAAAGTATTTAGTCAGCCACCGATTGTGCAAGTTCCCCCACCTAAAATGATGACAGAGGTCAGTAATTTGCACCAGAGGTACACTTCAACTGTGAGAGACAGAATGTGAAAAAAAAAATCCATGAATCCACATGGTAGGATTTGTAAAGAATTTATTCGTAAATCAGGGTGGAAAATAAGTATTTGGTCAATAACAAAAATACAACTCAATACTTTGTAACATAACCTTTGTTGGCAATAACAGAGGTCAAACGTTTACTATAGGTCTTTACCAGGTTTGCACACACAGTAGCTGGTATTTTGGCCCATTCCTCCATGCAGATCTTCTCGAGAGCAGTGATGTTTTGGGGCTGTCGCCGAGCAACACGGACTTTCAACTCCCGCCACAGATTTTCTATGGGGTTGAGGTCTGGAGACTGGCTAGGCCACTCCAGGACTTTCAAATGCTTCTTACGGAGCCACTCCTTTGTTGCCCGGGCGGTGTGTTTTGGATCATTGTCATGTTGGAAGACCCAGCCTCGTTTCATCTTCAAAGTTCTCACTGATGGAAGGAGGTTTTGGCTCAAAATCTCACGATACATGGCCCCATTCATTCTGTCCTTAACACGGATCAGTCGTCCTGTCCCCTTGGCAGAAAAACAGCCCCATAGCATGATGTTTCCACCCCCATGCTTCACAGTAGGTATGGTGTTCTTGGGATGCAACTCAGTATTCTTCTTCCTCCAAACACGACGAGTTGAGTTTATACCAAAAAGTTCTACTTTGGTTTCATCTGACCACATGACATTCTCCCAATCCTCTGCTGTATCATCCATGTGCTCTCTGGCAAACTTCAGACGGGCCTGGACATGCACTGGCTTCAGCAGCGGAACACGTCTGGCACTGCGGGATTTGATTCCCTGCCGTTGTAGTGTGTTACTGATGGTGACCTTTGTTACTTTGGTCCCAGCTCTCTGCAGGTCATTCACCAGGTCCCCCCGTGTGGTTCTGGGATCTTTGCTCACCGTTCTCATGATCATTTTGACCCCACGGGATGAGATCTTGCGTGGAGCCCCAGATCGAGGGAGATTATCAGTGGTCTTGTATGTCTTCCATTTTCTGATGATTGCTCCCACAGTTGATTTTTTCACACCAAGCTGCTTGCCTATTGTAGATTCACTCTTCCCAGTCTGGTGCAGGTCTACAATACTTTTCCTGGTGTCCTTCGAAAGCTCTTTGGTCTTGGCCATGGCGGAGTTTGGAGTCTGACTGTTTGAGGCTGTGGACAGGTGTCTTTTATACAGATGATGAGTTCAAACAGGTGCCATTCATACAGGTAACGAGTGGGGGACAGAAAAGCTTCTTACAGAAGACGTTACAGGTCTGTGAGAGCCAGAGATTTTCCTTGTTTGAGGTGACCAAATACTTATTTTCCACCCTGATTTACGAATAAATTCTTTACAAATCCTACCATGTGGATTCATGGATTTTTTTTTCACATTCTGTCTCTCACAGTTGAAGTGTACCTCTGGTGCAAATTACTGACCTCTGTCATCATTTTAAGTGGGGGAACTTGCACAATCGGTGGCTGACTAAATACTTTTTTGCCCCACTGTACTACTGTGAGTCATTAACGTTTGTCTTCTCTCTCCTGTAGGTTCTGTTTAATCCTCTTTGGTGTTCATAGCCTCACTATGCTCCTCTTTGCATCCTCCTTTCTTGTCCTTCATCTTCCACTTGAGGTCACTTGTTAAAAGGGAGTTCTTCCTCCCCACGGTCACCAAGTGTTTGCTTATAGGGAAACATTGGATGATGGGTTTCTCGTCATGTAAACATATAAAGTACCTTGAAATTCAATAAAAGAAACTCTTCAATAGACACACTTTTATTATTTCAAAGGAATAAAGGAATGGTACAGAAAGTAAAAAAGGTTAGCAGATTGCTTAACTTCACTGAATATGGAAAACAGTTGACATTAAAAGGAGCAAAATGTATCTTTTGCTCAAAAGCAGGTAATACATTAAACATAAACGGCACAATATACAGCTAAAAGGACTCAAATCAGTGCATTTACTACGAACATTAAAAATTACACAAAATTATTTTAGGCAACTTGTGCAAATACCTCCACAGATTTTAAAAGGAACTACACAAACAGATAAAGAGCTAAGTCTTTGGTGTGGAGATGCTGCGCTAGGTTCTGAATCCGACAAAGGCGTACGTTCTGAGCATCTCCAGTGCTGTACACTCTGTATATGTGGTATCGTTCCCTCTCCTTCAGTGCAAAGTCCAGCTCGTTGGCAGACATGTGGATAAATGACTTCTCTTTCTTTATAGTCGACTTCACCTCCACATACACCACCTCAGGCTCTCCTGTGGATCCGAAGGTGAGCTTAAAGTCGTATGGCTGACCGGTCTCCCCGCTCTGATTGCACCACATGACGTGCGTGGGTCGTCCAGTGTCGCTGCTATCTCTCCAGTGGCACAGGAAGGAGTTGACCAGCTGCTCCCCCCATTCGCCGATCGCTGCCACGTCTATCTCGTCTTCTGATAAGACCACCTACAAAACAGAGGAGCTATTAGGGAAGACTTGATAACCAGCGACTAGGAAACCAAAGCTTGCAGTCGGTATACTGACGGTGGTGGGTCTCTGGCAGGTGAGCTCCATGTCTTCAAGTGTGGCCTTGGTTTTGTTCCAGTGAGGAAAGTCCAGGTTCAGAGGAGGACGGATCTCTGCAGCAGCTGCTGCAGTCCCCTGGAAAGTACTAGAAAGCACCACAGCCTCAGGTACAGCACTGACAGAGAGAGACAAAGGAGAGAGATTAGGAATACATACTCAGTAAGAGTGAAAATCAACATTTTCTGAATATTTTACATATTTGGGAAGAGGAGAAGAAGCCTACAGGCTGTTTGGAACGGGCTGGCTGCTGGCTGTCTCAGCAGGTGGTTCAGATGGAGGACTCGGTGGAGGTCTGGGAGCTGCAAGGCTTTTCTCTCCACCTTCAGCTGTGTCAGACCGAGTGGTCTCACTCTGCTGACGGCGCTCTGTTGGTGACAGACAACACCAAATGGAAAACGTTAGTTTTTACAGGATGTGCTGTAACAGTTTGGGAATAATGACACAACGCAGAATTACACAAGAACTTTCTGTTTGTAGTGTTGTGTCTTTGCTCACTAACAAGCTAAAATCAACATCTTAACTGATAATGCAAGATGCAGCTGGTTAAGACAATAAAACTAACTTATTGTGGACGATTTTTTAATCTACCTGTCTCTCCCTCTCCGTAAGTATTTTCAGTTTCTTGTGATTATCACAAACTGAGAAAGACGGTTCTGTGTTACCATTCTGCCCTGTGGTGAAAATATAATTTTGCAAAGGTAAAACACTTAAAGCTGCACACATTTATTCTTTGTCCATTTCTAACACAAACAGCCTGAGCAGAGGAAGAAGAAAATCATTTTCATATATATCTCCTGTCTTCCTTCTCTCACCCAAACCAGTCGCGGCAGATGGAGGTTTCTTCCTGTTAAAAGGGAGTTTTTCCTTCCCACTCTCGCCACAGTACTTGCTCATAGGGGGTCATATGATTGTTGGGTTTTTCTCTGTATGTATTATAGTAGGGTCTACCTTACAATATAAAGCACCTTGAGACGACTGTTGTTGCGATTTGGTGCTGTATAAATAAAACTGAATTGAATATAAATTGCTAATAGTCAAATCCATCTTAAAACTGTGATGTTTTTTTGTTTGTTTTTTGTGAAAATCTGACTCACTTGTGCGTCAGATTCTAGTAAACAGAAGTGTGTTTATTTTGGCTTCAGTTTCGTTCTATAAAATTTAGTTGCATTTGTTGCTATTGACTGAAAAACGAAAAAGTCCTAAGCTGTTATCTCTCATCCAGAGACCCTCGCTATACTGGAAACCCACAAACCTGCCTGCAGCGGCAAAATCACTAAACCACCTGAAAGTTTACTAGATTAGGCAGGTCAATAACTCTTTTTTTCTGCTGCAGCATAAATATGGAGAAGTGTCACCTCTGATATCAGAATGTTAACTGGTGCAGGAATCTAATTATTCAAGTGGAGGTTTCTTCCTGTTAAAGGGGAGTTTTTCCTTCCCACTGCTGCCATGTGCTTGCTCACAGGGGGTTGTTTGATTGCTGGGGTTTTCTTTGTATTATCGTACGATCTTTACCTTACAATACAAAGCACCTTGATGTGATTTGTTGTGATTTGGTGCTATATAAATAAAACTGAACCGAATATCTGTGTTTTTAAGGATCTTGAATGTGAAACCTGGTGGTGGTGGTGTGTTGGTGTTTGCAGCAGCAGCAGTTGTGTTAGCTTGCTCTGGATGACTGGGAAGCCTCTGAAGGCTGGGTTGGTCTGCAGGTCTGTTGGTGCTGCTGCTGCTTCTGGGTGGATGGTTTCCTTCGTGGCTGCTTCCTCTGGGTGCGACTTCCATCTCCAGGCCTTGTTCTTTCGGTCCAGCTGGAGGAGGCCACATCTTCATGACAGCCTCCACCACTTTGCTATCTTCCTGACCTCCTGACAAATGTGACAAATGAAACATGCACTTTTTATACTGCTAATATAAACAAAATTTTCTTTACTCTGAGCATCTGCATTAAGTACCAGCTCGACTGCCTCCTGTGCTGTGTATTGGTGCTCGAGGAGGCCAGCACACCAGCGTCTGTTCCCCGTCCTCTTGTCCAGGGTGAGATGGCTCGACTGTGGAGCTGGTGGAGGAGAAACTCCTTGACAGCACTGGAGGATAATAGTTTCAGTTAAATCCAAAGAATATAAAGGAAACATTGAAATGAAACCTTAAATAAAACACCAATCATACACAGTGTGAGCCTGTCTCAGAGCTGTTGTGCCATGAAAGCAAAATGTGTAATGAAAAAGTCTTTGATCATATTAATCCTTGTAAAATGTGTGTGTATGTGTGTGTATGTGTGTGCTCTCTGCTGCAGTATGGGATCTGCTCCTCTTGCTCTTTGAGCCCTGGCAACAGCTGCTCTTTTATGTCACCACACACAAGAGTGAACAAACTCGAATTAGCATATGCGAGAAACACACCAGTTATGTGCACTGTGTGTGTGTGTGTGTGTGCCGAAGGAGTGTTTGTGTGAGGCTGAGACTGCGAAGAAAAACACTTTGAATATTATGAAATGATAATGGAAATGGGGGCAAGTGTCACAGAGAGAATTGGAGGAACTGCAGATGGAAGCGTGAGAGGAAGCAGCAGTGAGTTTTAGGATTCAGCTCGTGTTGCAGTTGTAGCACAGAGCTGATATTCTGCATCAAACTGTGATTCTCATGCACATCAACACTGGGCTGAACACGTGGATTTTTCAGGCTGTTTTTCAAACATTCTGCAATTTCACAAAGGTAAGTAAATCAGTGAGGAGCACTATAGAGTAACAAAGAACCTTATTTACTGATATATATTTTTGGCACTATGGCTCTGTTGTGGGAGAGCAGGTGTTAATGACAAGTCCGACCCATGCAGACAAGCCAAAATGAAAGAAAAACATTGGAGTGGCGCTGGGTTGCAAAGCAGCTTGCAGATGTGCAGCAGGTGTGGCTGGGTTACAGCAGCTTAAATCGCATGGTGTGTGTGAAAATAGCCAATTAGAGGTGTAGAAGAGTGTAAACAGAGCCATCGCAATGACATCAAGCAATGCTACGTTCAATTAAACTGTTATTTTAATCAAACCTATTTCGCTTTGAGAGTTAATGTGTCTGTTATGGTGGATAAATTAATGGAAACAAGTGGAAGCTTTGACTTTTCAACTTTCACCTTTAGCATTCTGTTCGATCAAATTCCATCAACATAACGATAACCTATCGGTTACGCTGTTTTTCCAAAAGGTTACTACCTCTGTGGCCTAGGGGGTCACTGTTGTCCTGACTGACAGATATGTTCTGAGATTTATGTAAATCCAACATTTCATGTGTGACAGGATGGCTGTGTGTGTGTTTTTTCCACCATGTGTCTTCTGTACCTCTTTCAGGGGGAATGTCTGGTTTGTGAGGCTCTGGGACCTCCCACAGTTCCTCCTCACTGGGCAGCTCTCTGATTTCCTCTTTAGCCAAGAATCTCTTCAGGGCTCTTGGGTCCTGCATATGTATTTATTATAGTTATTGTAGTTATTATAGTATACACGGCATACACATAATATTAGGCAAGGTTGACAGACTGTATAAAAAAGATGGACGTAGCAACATGATATCACCAGTGGTTTGTGGACTTTGTATTTTGAAACTAAAACATTTACATTTTGCCTGCTGCCATGTTCTTTTTTTTTTACATCCAGAAATGACCATAATCAGATGAGACACAGGAGTGCTAAGGTAACTGCTACAGCTAACTAACATAGCTAACAAGCTGCATCCATAAACTGTACCAGGTGCAATGTACAGACAAAGCCTTAGGAGCCTGCCTCAAATGGAAGGAACTGCAGTTTTGGCACGTCCGCATGCTTCATGTTTATTGTTGCCTGGACAGCATATAGCATTTGTTTTGTATCAAAGAACAAAACTAATTGCATTTCATAATTTTATTCACACTGGAAGACCTGTGGGACTTGCATTTGAGTTATTTAGGAGGAACACAGAGGTCTGATCCATTCATCATCTGTCTGATTCTCCCTGTTCCTCCTTATAAAATCACTACATAATAAGACCAGTGCTGACTAGATCTGAGGTCTGTCTTTTCAGATTCTCTTGCCAACAGTGGCAACGACAGACATTCTCAGTAAAACTCCGATGAATTAACACGAACTTCTAGTCATCAACTTCCTGGGATACTCTAAGTAATAAGTGAATATAATAAGTTGGGAGCCAGATTTCCCCTAAGCCTCTCATATCTGTCTGACTGCAGTGTAAAGGGATGTTACACTACAGAATCAGATCATTAAAGCCTTTAATCAGACACTGAAGAATTTCATTTTATTGACTTTGGAAAATCCCAAAATGGAACCTAAATCAAACATTTGATCCAGATGTCAAAACTGATTATATAACGCAGCTCTGTTCTACTTCTGGAAAACCAGAAGAGAATGATCAGTGGAGCAGGATCAAAGCTGAGGCCAGATCTGAGCATCTTTTGCTGCTGCACTGCTCTGTGAGTCGGCAAATAATGCAAATGCAACTGCTCTCCAGGGAAAGGGCCGTTACCCGGCACTACGGTCAGCTATGTGGTGAGTTTGTGCAAGTGGCAGGATGAAAAAGTGCAAATGACTAAAGACTCTTTTCACTGGTTGTGGATTAGTGATCGATGCTGGAAGGAATTATATATCACTTACACTGCGCGAGGTTATCAGGCCAGAAAGGAAATGTATCAGCTCCTTTTGGTGGCTGCTCTCTGTGCAAAACAATTTCACCACCTCCCTGAAACACACACAGCATTGCAAGCTACTGTAAGACAAATGCCAAAGCATGTACAGGGTAAGTCTATGAACAGCTTACTCAGGATATGTTCTCTTTATGAGACTTAAATGCATGTGAGCGAAGGACTTCTGAAATTCAGCAAAGATCAATATGAGTCTTCATCATATTAATAAAATCATGTGGATGCATGGATCTCAACTGACAGCTAAGACTCGATGCCATATTAAAAATTAATTGTAGAAATAATCTGATAATAAAGGGGTTTATTAATTCACTTATATCTCAATGAGAAACACTCTGGGGAAAATGGCTAGAACTTCAGTGCCAGAGCTTGCAGAACTTAATAGTTTCTGTTGATATTAGTATTTCTTTAATAGCTGTTTACATGTTCTGAACACACATATGCTATAGTAATGCATATAATGATGAGGTTCTACTCTGTGTTTCCCTCCAAATTCAATTCAATATTTTTCTAATGACTACACATAAAACTGCAAAACGAAGGAAAATAAAATAGAGTTCTGTGGAGTTCATAGAAAAAGACTTGGACACCAACATTTAACACTGAACTGTTCTACAAGACTTTCTTGAACTTTTCCTGACTTAGTGAAGGTTGAAAAACATCACTGACTAAGTCATGATTAAGACATTTAAGACATTTAAGAATCATTTAGATGGAGAAATTAATTTCTGTGACCGTCCATCACACACAAACCTGCAGATGTCCAGCTCAGCTGAGAGATTATCTTTCTGGATGTAAAGCTCTTTTTTATCCTTCAGCAGACAGATGACATCCACCAACTCAATCACAGGGTCCTCATCGTCAGCTACATCCAGCTGGTGGCGAATGTATAGCTTGCCCACCTGTGAATAATCAGACAGAAACAAAGGAGTGCATATTTGTTGTCTTTGTTTTCATGCTTTCTTCCTTTCAGAGCTTTAGGTGTTGTGGATGCACCTACAAGAAGACTCTTAAGAGAAAAAAATAAGACAAATTAGGGTTGACAATTCCTTCAGATTTATCCTCTTACCTGTGCAAAGTAGAGGTGCTTGATTTTTCCTGCTATGTTTTGTTCAGTCAGCTCTGAATAGACTTCATTCAGTTCGTCATGGTGATAGAGAAACCTCTGAACGTAGGGAACAATCCAGCGCACCAGGCTCTGCATGGACGGACAGGGCCTCAGGTTCTCAGTCAGAGGCTCACTCTTGACACATTCGGAGAGTTGACGAATACCACAGATATCCAGAAACAGTTGTCTGTCTTCCTCACTGAATGCAGTTCGATCTGCCGCGTCTATTAAGAGAAAAAAAATCATGAAAGTATCAATCACAGTATATTCTAACGCAAACAATAAAAATGTAAAAGCACTATACCAGAGTTTCCTGTCTTGTTCTTGAGCGCCGTCTTCTTCTTTGGTGGGGGCAGGTTGAGCAGACGCACCTGCTTATGAGGTTTGAAGATCTTCTCCAGCTCTTTGCTGTCACTGATCATAGGCTTATGTGCCAGACTCACCCAGTTGTTATTCTTAGTAGGGAAGACCTTCTTATCAGACACCATCCCTATCAGACATGCACACAACCATATAAATCAGACACGTAACACATAAACAGCAAAGGTACACACAGAATAAGCTGTAGACATTTAGCATGACTTTTTTTCTCATTGTACTACAAAAGCTGCAGGTTGGTTGTAAGAGGTTCACACTAAATGCAGATTTCGATTTAGCATTTCATCTCCCTTCCACTTATTTGAAGCCAACCATCTTTTGGTTGCCCGGCAGGTGGGCGGGACTTCTGTGCTGACCATATAAAACATATCTGCGGTCAGCATCATATAGATACAAAAGTAGAAAGAACTGCCTGATGTTGACTGTTAAGTTGGTTCTCTGTGTGCTCATATTTTAATGGTTTATGATGCAAGTTGCAGCAATCTGCACCAAGGTTTACTTTAATTGACTGCTTTATTAACTTTGACACATGCTGTTGTAACTGCTGACCATACTGGTGATCCAAACTGCCATAACAACTTTCCATCATTCTAAGAACACTAACATGCACCCATGTCTTTTACCTCACACAATATCTTTGCGTCACATCTTTCACCTGATGCTTACATTCAGCTTTCTGCACAAAGGATCTGCTGAGTATTTATATTGTTTCAAGTTTATCATCTGAATAAATATTTTTCCGCAGGTACTACAAGAGTATTGCTAAATGTAAAAAATATAAACATTCCCACTCCAGACAGTGCAGTCTGACTGTCTTCAGTCCTAAGTTCAAAATGCTTTAATCCTGCAGCAACAAATTCATCCCAGCTGCATTTAAAGCATGCGGCACACTGACAAATGGCAGATAATGCTGGATTTCCAACAGAAATTCTGTGTGAACAGGTAAAGAAAGGTGCGTTGTTTTTGGAATAGATACATGACTCACCTTTCAAAGTGGAGCAGTAACTGTGATTAAGTTTGGACTGAGGAATTCTTTCCTGGTCTCCGGACATTTTGGACTTACAGTTTTTAGCTGTTAAAACAAATACAACATTGCATTAAAATATTTTATGTAAAGAAAAACAGAGGAAGGATCAAGTATCAAATCAAGCTAGTCAATGGAGAGACTATTGAGCAGGAAATAATGAGCTGCTGGCAGATGGGACATCAACAGTAAACAAATGTATGAGTCAATGAAAGAAAGGCAATCTAAATGTTCTTACCAAGTCTGGCATAGAGGATCGAGACATCCTGTAGCACTTCAGCAGTTGGTATGGGACAGGAGGAACAGATCAGTTCCAACAAGCCAACATACTGGTTCATGTTGGGGTCGTTTTCCACATTCAGCAGCTATGCATGAGAGAAAGAAATGCAGACACAAAGAGTTGAATTAGTATTAGTATTATTATTAGTATATAGTACTGCATTTTTGTTAACAGTCGGTCCTCCTTTATTTTTTTTAAACTCAATTTGATTTATATCAAATTCCCAAATCACAATTCATTCAAGGTGCTTTAAATTGTAAGGTAAAGACCCTAACAGAGAAAACCCCGAAAGTCATATGATCCTCTCTGACAGGGGTGTCACCAAGGGGAGGCCAAGGCAAGCACTGGCTGCCACCTAAAATTTGCTTCCCCCCCTTTGGCAAGATGGTCCTCTGTTGGTAATAATTCTAATACACATGAGCAAAAGAGAAAGGAAGACACCCTACAATGATTTGAGACATTGCCTATTTGTCTGTTATTGTGTATATATTTATTTATATTTATATTTCTTCATACATTCTTATACAGTTCTATATTGTGTATTGTGTATTTTGTTGTACAGTTATTTTATTTTCAACTTTAATTTATATATTTTATCTTATTCTCCCAGTTAAATTTACCCTTCATTCTAATTTGTGTTGTACAGTTATTTCATTTTTAACCTTAATTTATATTTTATTCCTTCCTAGTTAAATTTACCCTTTTTAATTTTTCATATTTATTTCCTATCTTATTCATAGCCTTTTCCTTTTTTGTTTTCTTTAGGTCACGAGCAGTTGTCCAAGCATTTCACTACATATCGTACTGTGTATGACTGTGTACGTGACAAATAAAATTTGAATTTGAATTTGAATTTGAATTTGAACTGTATTTTCAGTGATATCATCTTTAATAGCAAGAAATTAACTAGGCATATAATTATTTTCTTTCTCTCTTTTTTGTCATATTTTTTCTAGAAACCTAAATTTGACAACAGCATAATAAATCTGGAGATTCTGTTGGTGTGCCAGCCCAGTGTTTTTAGTTGCCCCATATGGCACCACTAGGCACCCCTGCTGTATGAGCAAGCGCTCTGACGATAGTCAGAGCAACCCATCGCTCAGAGCAAGCCATTGTTTAAATGGCTAACTAGCTAGCCAATAAAGTTTTACTTAGCACAATCAGTATTTGCTATGTAGGAATAATGGAGCTGCTTTACTTTAGTTATGAAGGAAATCTGAAGACAAATCTACAATAAAGCAGACAATTGTGATGAAAATTCCCACTCTGAAATTTTATAGGCAGTACTCAAAAATAAAAATCCAATGGCTCTCTAGCCCAAACACAATACAACCACACAATCCTTTTCAACAACTACCCTCTAGGTGACCTACAGCCAATTCTAGCACAAGAACAGTAACAGAAAGTTTAAGACTTTTAAATGGCTTTTTAAAATTAATCTGAGTTTGTATACAATGATATCTTAGTTATACCAGGAAACCTGACAGTTGCACCCAAATGCTAAGTACACCTATGGACACCCAGACTGATGGGAAGTAAACAACCTCTCTGTAGATAATCAGTAGGTCATATTTTACACTTCGAGAAAGAAAAATCATGTGAGCTTTGTTTTTTGAAAAATGACTAAAGCATTGAATCCATACCAAAATACCATTCAGTATCCTCAGAACTAACTCAGAGCATGGCTACACAATCTGTCTTCACACTGATCTCACTGTGCTGAATAAAACCTGCTTTCTTGTTAGCTTAACAGAAGCAAATCTGCATTATTCTCATGTGTTGATTCAGTGCTTTTACTGATTGACAGTAAAGCTGAAAAGCTGACAGTGACATCAAAGGGAAAAAAAAGAAAACAAAAAGAAACCTTATGTTTCTTTTCTTCTTTAGTAGGGCAGCTTACCCTGACGAAGAAGTCTTTCATGTCTTCCAGACGGTGATAGAAAGGAAATAGGACTTTGGGCTCCCGGACAGGGCTGTCTGGTTTACGTGTGAGCTCTTTGTAGCGCTGGAACATGTTTGTTGGGTCGCCCCAGCACACCTCTTTCAGGTGGTAGAACCGTCCAGTGCACCAGTCATCACTGCGCCTGAGGAAACAAAGTACTGCTTGTGGTTTTCAGGTACTTTGAGAATAATCTGAAAAGGTATGCTGAAAATGATGATAATGTACCTTTCGTTCTCTATAAACACAGCAGGTGTATGCTGGAAGAGCTCCTTCAGGCTGCCCTGAGAACAGTTTTGTTGCAGGTAGGTGTAGACGTTGTGGATGTGCTGAATTGTGGAAGTGAAAGTTCCCCTTTCTGACTCATCCTCAGGGAGCCTCTGCTCCTGAACATCTTCCTCTGGTTTGATGCACCACTTTTTCAGATAGTTAATCAGAACATCCACTGAGATTGTTTCTCTCATCCCTACAAGAGCAGGAACACAGTTACAGACTCCTTTACAGGACAACCAACAAGAATAGCAATGGACAAAAGTAATCGCCACTGTAAAAGACACATTTTTACCAAGAGCTCTGCTGAAATCGCTGGAGCTAATGTCCACATAGTCGACATGGGTCCCCAGCAAGTTGGTGACTTCAGGTGATGACAGGTAGACAGAGCTCGGACAGAGGTACTTTCTGTCCAGCTGGCCTCCTTGTTTTGGGCGATAGGCTGGCACCCATTCAAGACGACACAAGGAATGGTAGAAGGAAGACTTGGTGCTTTTGATTGGTTGCCCATCACTGTCGATCACCTGGGCTGTGAGGTACTGAGAGTAGCAATGTCTGAAAGAAAGAGACAGAGAAAGAGACTGTTTGAGATGTTTTCAACCCACTTCTACAGTGGATTGAAAACACAACATGTTACAGACGACACGCGACACCATTAATGTGGGGTCATTACAGTGCATGGCTGACAATTCTCCAGCTGTCCTGATTTAATGACTCAGAAAAGTGACAGAAGTGTGTGAACTACATTCTCAGCAGCATTGTGAGATAAATATACAGATAAATTTTCACCAACCTGATCAGTGCAATAGATACCAGTTAAAAAATAGTGTTCTCTGAGTCAATCTCATATATGCTGTGGAACACTTTCCCCATCCTGTTACCCTGTAGAAGGTAGATATTGTTGCTTAAGCATTTTCCACGTGCCTTTATGGGAATTCTCCCACCTATGGGTGCTAAATATCCTTGGGCAAGATACTAACACCAAGTTGCTCTCCGAAAAATCCACTGGAATGTGTGAATGTTAGATATGGGTGAATGAGGCAAGTTGTGTAAAGCGCTTTGAATGCTCAGATAGAGTAGAAAAGCTCTATATAAGAACCCGTCTATTTACTGTTTTAATGGTTTGAGGTGAACTGAGCTTCTTGTCTTAAAGTGATGTTAAACTGATACATTCATAGGTGTGTGAGATTGTGTGTATAGCATAAAATGAATAGAATAAAGCACTGCATGAATGAGTGCATAAGTAGGTAAACATGGCTAGAAAAGTGATTTATAAATGCCAGTCTATTTGACTTTCTTTATTAAAGTGGACCTACTGTGCGAATTTCCAGTCATTTGGACTTTACTAGACTGACTTTGGATAATTCATCATTCAAAACATCCAGATTTTTCTTACATTGGGCCTTGGTGAAGCCCCTCTGTTCACCTACTTTCTAAAATAAACTGTTTTGCATTTAAGCCAGCTTTCAAGTCAGCTTTCATCTGGTTGGCTGCCCTTTCATGATCAGAAATGATATCACCATATTAGGGTTATCCACTCACTGACATCATACAGGGCAAAGAGTAGAAAAAGCAGATTAAAATAGGAGGAAAAAGAAAAGAATTACACCAGTTTCTAGAGCTAGTGAATGGTATGGTATATATAAGGGACATGTATTACATTAGTACTAAGTATTTATTTATTTATTTTTACTCATTCTGTACTTGAAATTTGATTTAAAGATTAATTGTTAACTATTCATTCCTTCAATTTCATGTGCTTTAGTCCCTTTTTTCAAAGGTCACTGTTTTGAAACTGAAAATGACACTACTGTGATGCATTTGAGAACTGTTCGGGAGCCACACCATCTAAAACAGTGCAGTTGATAAGGACTACAAGCATAAATGAAGCTGCTGATAATTCAAACGAAGGAGAAAAAGCAAAAGTAGACACACAGACAGGCACAACGAATAGCTGTAATTTAAAACCTATAGGGTAGTGCTTGGCAGTCAGCCAAAGTCTAAATGATAAATGAGTTTTAACACGCAAAAACAATTTTGGGATCCTTTAATTATTCATTGAAATGTGATGTATAGCAACAGCTGGTACGAAAATCTACACGAGAAATAATTCAGCTGTGTGCTGCTCACTGGCATGAGTTTGGGTGACCTCCTTACCTAAACTGCTCTTGTCTGTTCCCACACAAATATAACAGGAACTCATGAGATGGGACCGCACTAAAAGCACCTAAATCCAGATTACGAATGTTATGCCTGTGTGAGCTCAAGCCCAAACAAAAGCTCGGTGTGTCACTGCTTTTTTCCCTCAGGAAGAAATGATTTTGAACTGCTGGTGCTGGGGAGGTCAGCCCTGTCACCTCGCAGCAACAGGTCCAGGGCTCCAATGTATTCTGGGGCCTTTTACACACAGAGGCTATTTAATCCACTTTATATTAAAGACTTCATAACACCATATAAACCCAATGGTGCACTTGACTCTGAGACTGCAGGTTTACTTGTGGATGCTAGAATGCCAGCTCGCAGTTTGGATTCAGGAGATAGACCCACTCTCTACTTTTGAGATTAGGTGTAAAACTTTCATTTTTAAAAGTTTATCTTTAAGGCTGATCAGGTGACCCTGAATCCTCCCTTAGTTATGCTGTAATAGGCCTAAGCTGCTGGGGACTTCCCAGGAGGCCCGACTTTTTCCATTATGTGTTTATATGACACGCTGCATTTAATCATTAGTTATTATTGATCTCCGGCTCTCTTCCATAGTGTGTCTTTTGTCCTGTCTCCCTCCCCTCACCCCCCTTCCTGAGTCTGGTTCTCTTGGAGGTTTCTTCTTGTTAAAGGGAGTTTTTCCTCCCCACTCTCACCAAGTGCTTGCTCATAGGGGGTCATCTAATTGTTAGGCTTTCCTTTGCATTATTGTAGGCTCTTTACTTCACAGTACAAAGCAAATCTAGGCAAATGTTGATGTGATTTAGAGCTTTATAAATAAAATGAAACTACACTGAATTTCGGTTTCCTCCCACAGTCCAAAGACATGCATGGGGTTAGGTTAACGGGTAATTCTAAGGATAAATGTTGTCTGTCTCTATACTTTAGCCCTGCGACAGACTGGTGACCTGTCCACGGTGTACTTTCTCTCGCCCTAGATAAGCTCCATTCTCCCCACAACACTGAACTCAATAAGCGGAAGAAAATGGACGGATGGATGCCAAACAATGTCTGCACTCTAACACAGTAATCACTTAATGGCCACAGTAGAAACAATAGGAATTGCCACCTGATGCTGACTAATCCCAAACCCATTAGTCTGACCATTTGTTTCCTGAAATTGGGCAAAATCCACTGGAAAAACATTACACAGGAGGGGGAACATGGTGTGTTTCATGGTGTGATTGTTACCCAGTTTCCCAGTTGGCCTCCAGCAGCTCCAGCAAAGCCATTCTCTGCTGCAACAAGAGGGAGCCAGGCAGTTCTGCTGTGGCCAGAGCGTGAAATTCCTCACACGGGTAGTCGTCGAGTACATAGCCCTCCCCTGGGACTTGGCGCCACGTTGCACTTTCGACTGACCAGGGGCTGGAGGCCTGGTGGAGGAGTATGGCAAAAAAGTAAGCTTTACCACTGATATCGACATCTCTTTTAAATGTTCAAATCCATCTGAAGTTAAATCAACTGAGGTGTCCTGCAAGCATTGCTTGCTTCTTTATGGGCTTACAGTAGCAAACTGAATGTGTCTTCTCTTAGGTTGTTATCTACTAAAGCCAGAAGAAGAAGAAGGAAATCTGATCATGTCCAAGGAACACTGATCGCTGGCGGCACATACAAAGCCAGAACCAGTTTTTTTTGATTGGTCCAAAACCTGCTCGCTTTAATAATTAGTGTTTACTTTGTTTTGTCAACTTTTATACAGTTACAGTATAGGACACCAACAAACAGTTGTTAAGACTGATAGATTTATGTGATCAGGTTGCCTATAGTTGCAAGTAAAGTAATCATAGACAGTTTTTTTCTGCTAACTTGCTTTATAAATGGCTTAATGAGATAAATCAGTTTTAAAACTACTGTGAATCACTTTTGATTCTGACTGTTCAACTGACAAAAAAACACAAGGTCCAGTTCTGGTTCTGCCAGAGGTTTCTTCCTGTTAAAAGGGAGTTTTTCCTTCCCACTTTTGCCGAAGTGCTTGCTCATAGGGGACCAAATGATCGTTTGTTTTTTCTCTGTATGAATTATTGTAGGCCCTATAATGTAGGGTCTACAATAATACATCTACCCTACAACTACCTTACAATATAAAGCGCCTTGAGGTGACTGTTGGTGTGATTTGGCGCTATACAAATAAAACTGAATTGAACTTAATTGAATTAGCCGTTTGAGTCAGATAATTTATACATTCACAATCCTACAACAAGTGGGCAAACTCTACTGCTAATAGGCAGCATAACACAACCAACAGCTCTAGAACAGTTACTAAATGGATCTTCTGGAAGGATTTCTTATCATGGCCCTAACCACAGAATGAGCAAAGCCTACTTTTGCTTTAACATCATTAACAATAGCATAAAAAATCCTTAATGTAATGACTTGTTAATAGCATCTGATGCATACAGTGTTTTTAAACAGGAATGATGTTATCGCAATTTTCCAGCATTGTATGTAGGTAGTATCAGTCACACCATGACTGATAGTATCATCACAAATCCTCATACTTTCCACTGTAGCTGTGGCTCAGTCTAAAATAGGCGTCAGGAATGTGTGAGCTGCACACCTCCGACTATGCCTGAGTGACATTTCTCAGCAGCCACCTGTTTTTCTTCTTATCCTCAAAGCAGCCATTGATCTTCCTAGTTCTGGTGCGACTCATAATTGTTAGTCTTTTCGTCCTTTAATCACTACCTTACTCATCACGATGACTCACAGATGCAGACATATAATCTGGTCTTCCTCTGGTGTCCATGGAACCACTAAATATTTTGCCCTTACAAAACACATCCATAGCCTTTTATCACCTGTGCTTACATGCAGAGCCATCATGACCTTTGTCTGATCTTTTTCTGCCTATCTGACTGGATCAGTGCAGCGTGAGCTGTGTGTCATTCTTTTTTAGCTGAGGTAACAGTTCAGGAATATCGTCCTCACCAGTTCTGTAGCAGTGAGTGTTTGTCTTTGTTTGCAGATGATGAGACCATCTTTGATTCCCAGTTTACTGAACAGCTCTCTCCATCCTGCCACATCACCGTCTGTCTGCACATAGCAGGGACTCAGCAAGATCCAATCATAGCCTGGTGAAAGGGAAACACAACAGTCAGCAACACGAAGGTTTACAGAAGAAATATCAACAAAGAAATGCTGAACCTGGTAACTGAAAGTGTAACTGATTAAAATGAGTTGTTCAGTCATACAAACAAGGTACCTGTGATGCATGGGCCTTTGTTACTAGAATATTATAAGAATAGTCACAGGAACACTGATATTTAGATTTGGTGGCAAGGCTGTTGCTGTCCCTTTCACACAGGCAAGGGGAGCAGCAGCAAGACCCGAGCAGAGAAGAGAGCAGGTATTATTGACAGCAGACTTAATCAGTGTTAATTGATTATGTGGGAAACGTCATGAAAAGGATGATTTGATGTGAAGTTGGGTTGCAAAGTGGCTTGCAGTGCGCCTTACACAACACAAGCTGTTATTCTTTCTTTTAATAAAAGCTGTGGGATTCTCCTTACCAGGCAGCTTCGATGGTAAGTTGACGTTTCCGTACTCTTCAGAGAAATGCACCCTTTCATTGGATGGGCACAGCAGACCCCTGGAGGTGAGGACGGGTACTGCGGTGTCTGAGTACTCCTGGCTAGAGGACGAGTGCTGCTTGATGAAAACCAAGTAACTCACAACCACAGGTGTAGGCTTTGACTTCAATGAAAAGGGTAAACAGAAATAAGAGAAAGAAGAAAGAAAATTCATCCAATTTTTTTTTAAAAAGATCACTGATCATTTTTTTTTCTCATATTCATTTACAGTGTTTGTTACCTTCCATTTGTTGTTCCTTATTGTAGGGTAGATGTGCTGCTCCAGCAGCTCTTGAGGCTCTAGCTCGTGAACCCCAAGTCTTCTGAGCAGCTCATGAACCTGCTGACTTTCCAAAGGCTCCAAACAGCTCAGCAGGGACGGGTGAACCACACTGACATCCTTGTACAATGCAGCCAGTGGTCCTGTGAGAAGAAAAGTACAGGTTATATCACCAAACTGGTCACAAAAACAAAACCTACTGCATGCTCCTCATTTACTGTAGGGTTATATGTTATATAATAACCACCCTGTTTAAAGTTGAGTTCTTTTGAGTGAACCTTTTCATCAGACTCTAGAAAGTGTCACTCCAGTTCATTTCATTTCATTTCACAGAGACTCGCCTGTAACAGATGTGAAGAGAGGCAGAAGACTGCTGTTGTGGCAAAGTGCTAAATGTGGAAGACGTTTTTTCTGAACAGGCATCTAGTCTCATTTTGTCCTGGATTTGGGAAATACACAATTCTTGGTAAATCTTGAATTACTCATACACTGTCTTAATTTTTAACACAATACTACAATAAAACACAGCAACTACCTTTAAGTAAAGACCTCCAGTGACCTACTTTTCTTCCTTTTAAGGCTTGCATCTGAAGGAACGCTTTCCCACTGATCTCTGCGCTGCTCAATATTTCAGAAGAACACTGTGTTTAACTTCGCTGTCTCTCTAAACCCATCACACTCATCTCTGTTCACCTCGCCTTTGAGCAGAGCCTGAGGTTTATGCTGCACCGAGGCTGATTTAATCTACAATCACTGACCCGAAAAACCAGCTAGAGTAAAGATTTCACTCTGACTTTTATTATTTCCCCATCAACTTTCCAAACATTCTTTATTGAGTCTGTTTCCAGTGACAAAAGCTTTTCATAATTATGAATAGGAGCCTTGCACTCAAAATCATGTTTTTCACTAGCCAAGAATTTGTCAAACTTTATTGTTCTCAAACACCGGTGGCGTGCACTGGTGATTTAGTGCTCTCACATGAAGCAGTCGACCCACAGGAGGCAGATCAATGCCCAAAATCAAAGCCAGCCTTATTGTTAGTCCTCGTGCAAGACCATGCTTCTGGCAGCAAATCCTAAAATCTGAAACCTCACTGGTCACACACTTTCTGTCAGACTTACTACACAAGGCGAATTACTGTCCACAGTGTTCCTATATGCTAATTAACCAACACAGAAGCAGCCAGTTCATTTCAATAACAACCAATGCAATGCATCAAGAGCGGCACAAATTAGCAGGTCAGATGAGGTAAATCTACCAACAGCACAGGTTCAGCTGTGCTACTTCTAATGTGATGCAACTGTTTCTCTCTGGAAACGACACGGCAATTCATACCAAGGAGCAGGAGTGGAAAAATAAACGTTCTGACACGAGTAGCACGAGGGAAATCTTCCTTCAAAAAGTGAGAGGGGCAGCATGAGGTCTTTAAGGCAGGAAAGGTTTATGTTTGGATGAAACATGGGAGCCCAGGTGCAATGGAAGATTGATCCAGAGAAGAACTGCTTTATTAGAAACGACTTCCCTGTATTGACCTGAAATCTGTGTCTAACAGCTGACCTATAGGAAGGAACGTTATTGATTATCAGATCCAGTGTACTATCTACTCTTTATATGCTTTTTTGTTGCATTCATTTTTTAATGACTCACGACCAGCTGTGTTCTAGATAAATATGATGGATCTGCCTCCCAAATAAACATCTGGTGCAAAAAAGCTATTTTGTAATATTTTTTGGTCTTAAAACAATGGTGGAATTTTCTATAAACTTTATAGATTGATCCTTAGCAAGCCAGATGTCATTCTTTTAAATGCTCCCCCCCACCCCTTTCTAAGGAAAGTAAGATATTTGTCTAATCTAAACAATTTTGAAAGACAGCCATTGGTGATGCTTATGTGAGCCACAGATTCCAGAGAAACACGACGGCAGCAGAGGGAGAGGGGAACACGAGCACTTTGGCTCCTTAAAGAAACACTAAACCACTTAGACTGCACATCTATTAAAGCCAGCAAGCTGCAGCGGCAGGATGCTTACATCAAAGTGTGAAAATCCATTATTCATGCTCGCCATTCTAAACGTCTGCTTTGGGTACCATTTTCAAATACGATGACGCACAACACAACACCGGTGCCGTTCCTCAATGCTTGTGCGAGCGTGCTCCGACCTGAGTGGCTACATGCCTGCTTATTCTTGGAAAGAGGTCAACTTCATCTGCAGACTGTACAAGTTTGTCATACACCTACTTGGCTAACCTGCATGTCTGAGTCTGCTGACTTTGAAAACAGAAGACAAAGCTACTGACGCAGATCCTTTTAACCTTTTCGAGAGCTCAGAGTCTTTCCCCCTATGCCATTTCTATATCTACTCAGACATTAAAAAAGAAAGTTTGAATGTGTTCTGTAGTCTGTTACCGTGTCTGTTTACTTAAGTGCCTTGATTCAAATGTACCAGGTAATGCACTGTGCTATTTTTTACTCAGTTTATGAAGCTCCACAACAATTTCCAGCTTTGCAAGGATTTCCTGGCTGAGGTTTGTGAGCACAGATGGAGAGTGTTACATGTGCACTTCTCACCGTCAGCAAGGTGATACTTATTTATCCGTTTTTGTTTCTCCTACATCAGTTTGTTACATTTTTAGAAAATGAAAACCTGTGAAAGCGTACTGTTCTACATTCTCACTGCTTTCCTTTCTCCATCTCTACTGCTGGTTCACTGTTTTTTGTTTTGTTTTTTTCACGCTTGTTTTAGCAAAGTGCAATCATCACATGCGTATCTATAAATTCTCTGCAGGTTCAGAGCAATTATCTGCACCAAAGCAGCAAAAACACAGAGACATTGCTGCTGACTCTTTCACAATTCTTCTTTAATTCTACATGCAGCTGTACACTGTATGCTGGGCCTGTCTTTTTATCACAATACTGCAGCTATTCATCTGTTAAGAAACAGTATTAAAATATGCAGTAGTTTTAGTTTTACTTATGTATGTAAAACACAAGCTGATGTGGCCATTGTGAGGTTGCCTATTTCTTTGTGGATTATACTTTTAAAGCCTTTTACTCTTCACATTGGTTTTAGGAGCCAGAAGTTGCCATATTTGGATATGAGTGTGCAAGGCTAAGTTCTCAGCTAATGTTAGCAAATTTGTTTAGCAACCATTGAAAGAAGAAAACAAGCTAGGTATACAGCTAGGAACTAAAGGCGCTTGTCCTTGTGTCAGTACCATAATAGCATCCACTTTTTTACTCACTCCATATTTCAAGCTGAAGCTGTTAGTATTTGGTCAGTGCAATGTATTTTTTTTTGTATAGTCAAAGATATCGTATTTAGAACAGCGCTTGGAGTGATAAGCTATCAGCTAACAGGCTAATTTAACAAGTGCACAGAAACACATATTTGCAAATTATAGCAAAGTAACAGTACATGAAATAAACAGCTCCACACACTGCAGAACTCACATTTCCTTATTTATTGCCGCTAGTAGTGTATGACGTTCAAGCACATCGTGTAAGAATCGTTTAACCTTTTCTATATTAAAAAATAATAACCCCCGCACAGTTGTTAGAGGGGCTGAAATTAACTTTTAAGAAAGCAAGTGCTATTTTTACCTGCCTGTAAAAATGCCTGCCTGTGTTTTTATGCTAAAAGTAGAAAATAGAATGCCTTGCTTTTGGAGCAGCCTCTAGTGGCCATTGGAGGAAGTGAAGCTGTTTGGACTTCTGCAAGCTTCACTTTTCAGCCCCAAACTTTAGGCTTTTCCTATTCTATTCTTTGACTTAAAGCAAGGCAAAGTTATTTCAGAAGGACACACATAATCAAGATATCAGTTTGCAATTTAATCACCGATCACATTTCACAGATCAAGCCTCTTAGCCACTACATACTGCCACTAATAGAGTTATGAAGTCAGAGTATTACCTGTCTGAGCTTGAGCTTTCTTTTTCTTGGTCTTGCTCTCTTCCATTGGAAAGAACACTCCTTCCACACTTAGTGCCACCGCACGTCCGTCAGCTAGAGGGATTATGGGTAGCTCTCTGAGCGTCTGCAGGATGGAATCTGCCTCTCCGTATCCATGCTCCAGAGCTCGGAAGTTACAAACCAGCAGCCTGGCCAGCTGATGTAGACCTGCATCTGAAAGTAACACAATTCAATTCAATTTTATTCATATAGCGCCAAATCACAACAAAAGTCGCCTCAAGGCGCTTCATAGATACAGAGAAAAACCCAACAATCATATGACACAGTCTGGTGTTCAGATTTGCCATTACATAGGCAGAGAAAACATCAGTTTGTTTCTACTGAATGAAAAAGAAATAAAATGGAATATTTTAAAGTTTAGCCATTGATTATAATGACAATATAACTATGCAGCATCATATTGCCCTCACTGTGAGATGCCAGTGTTGCTCTGCACACACCTGAATGGATACCTCCCACTGTCATCAGCTCCTTGGCCATGGCTGTGGTTACTATGGTAACATCCGTTCCCCGCAGGTATCGGACTCCCAGGTGAGTGAGCAGGGAGGTGGGCGGTGCTGGGCTTAGATCCGGATGCAGATAGGACAGAGACAGATGCTTTTCCAGCTCACCTCCACCAATCACTTCCCGTATCACAGGGTCCTGACAGACGGCCACCTGGGAGGGCAGCTTGTACACAATCTTACCACCTGAGAGAGAAAGCAGAGGAATGTTTACAGTGTTACAGTGAAGAAATAATCTTTCATATTTCTTTGACATGCTCCTGTTGGTGCTCTGGTCTAACCCCAGCTCAACCTGTTTGGTTTTTCGTTTTTACCTTTACCTGAGATGGGTAAACTTGTAGTTGACTCAATGGAAATATCCTCTGGCTCACTCAACATTTTACCTGCATTTTTGTTTAAAACTGGTTTACCCGTGTCTGTGTCTCTGTATGCGAACTGTAATCAGTGCTTCACTGGTCTCTAGTCAAGTCCTTGCTTATTCTAAGAATGCTGTCATCTTCCACTTTTAAAAAAAGCCAACCTTGAATCTTTTCTTCTTAGCACTTACACATTAATCTCCAGTTTATTATCTCTTGCAAATATTTTATAAAAGCTTGTAGCTAACGAGCTGACAGATGTTCTGGATAAATGCAGTATTGGGGTGATCCAGTCTGGCTTTTGCATTGCTCATCTTACTAAAACAGCTCCTCTTTAAAGTGACACTTTGACCTAAACTCGTAAAAAACTAAATTCTGACCACCAGGTTTTGTCGATAGCCTGAGATACTGGGTTCGGGCTTTGGTTGATTGATTCTCCTCATATCTGCCTGAATGATCCTTTTCTGTGTCCTGTTCCACTTCTCTTGCCTACAGTGTGCCGCAGGGTTCCATTTTGGGGACCTTATTGTTTATGTTAGATCTGCTCCCTCTTTAGGACACTCTGAGGTTATTTCTTGTTCCTTTTGACTCAGCTTTAACTTTAAATGAAGTGAAATCTTTGGTTCATTTGAGCTTTTTTCATTCAAGAAATATTCCCAAATTGAGTTAATCTGTATCACACTCTGCATTAGAAATTGTTGGTCTTGCTTTCATTTTTCACATCTAGTTTTAGTTTTTAGTTTAGTTTTATAATACCTGAACTGAGAGTAGGCAGGAAGGATTTGCCCTTGAGCAGCTGAATGATCTGCCCGGCAACAGGCTTGAAGAAGTCCAAAACCTCGTCAGACAGGGGGATAAACTGAAGGAACTGGCACAGGCCCTTCAGTCCCTTGAACTCTGGGTGATTCTGGAACAACGAGAGGATGGAATATGACATAAAAGAAAAAGCTCTCTTCAGACGGAGACACAACCAAGATCTAATATTAGCCTAATAATACTTTATGTTCTAGACTTTTTCTTTAGTTACCTCAGCTACAATAAGAACCAAGCCTTTATTGGAAATAGACAGACCTGTAATTTCCTGGTACATACCAAATCTGCATATTATCAGATTTCATAAACTTCAGTGCTCAGAATTTATTTTACACAGTAATGTATCAAATATGCAGTTTCAACGCTCTCTTCTAATAGAATGATTTAATGTATCTGCCAATAATTTCTGGTTAGTATGACTGAGCAAATTTTCAAATTTTATCCTCCTGCCCAGATACGTCACAGTAAACGATCCTTAAATCATATTTTCTAAATCAACTTGCATATTAGTTTCGAATGATTTCATACTGCAACATAATGTGCATACACATTTCATACACATGTATCATATAATATTGCACTTTCTTGGTTATTGTTCTCTATTTCTGCAGCTATGTCTTACAGTGAAGACATCCATGGCCTGGAGGAAGAGCTGTGCTATTTCAGACCGGAGCCACTGGTTCCAGGAGCTGTCTCTGTCAACATCTTCACGAGAAGAAGGGATGTCAAAATCACCTAAACAAGAAACGGACATCAGTTATTGACTGCACTTGTTCTTCACCCAACGGCGCCCGTGAATAAACTGCTCTCATCGCCACTCTCACCTTGGATGATAAAACGGAAGCCAAAACTGCGAAGGGGCAGGTAAGCAAACACGGGCTGCTTCTGAGGCTGGCACACAATGTTACTTCCTGTGGAGTCGCTGCCAAGCTGGAAAGCCAGAGCGAGCTCGGTCGACTCTACATCCTCTTTGATCTGAAGGAGGCACAAATCAATGTCACAACAGAGCCAACAACTTGCTAACAGGCTGACTTCTTGCACAAATGGGTTTGCAAAAAGTGAGGCCACTGGAAAAAAAGAGAAGAAAATCAAGAGCACAGCGTGTCTCAAATAGCCTCTGTCACTCAGCTTTGCTCATTCTCTTACATAACCTAACTGCAGGTAACAGGACGCTGCCTCTGGGAAATAAAAGAAGGAAAACAGCTGAAGGAGTAAGAGCAGGTATTACTGAACCCTTTCAGCCTGACAGATCATTAAAATCAGCTTGGTGGTGTTTGAAAATACTATCCAGTGAATAAGTTTTCATAAAGTCTGATGGAAACCCGAGAAAAGACGTTTGAGGAGCAGAACGATCAACACTCATATTTACAGGAGTACATCAGAGAAATGCAAATCCACAGCAGATTTTATTTATGCCCCAGGAGGGATGGAATATAGGAACAGATGGTTAGCTGTTGTTCTGAAATCCAAATATGATATGTGCGCCTGAAAAGTTGTGGGAGTTAGCTTGTGTGCATCACCTTCTTGGGCTTCAGTGTGGTTTTGACCACTAGCCAGCGCTCGGTACCCTCCGAGTGTTCCACCTCGAGCACATTGTGATTGAGATCTTTACGAGTCATCGTCATGAAACGCTTCTCACTCTGCACATAGACACAATAAATACAGTAGCAACAAGGTGTTTTATTCCTAATCCATTTAGGTGGGTTTATGTGCAAAAACACACATGTGCAAGCGCTTGTTGTTGACTTACCTGATTGTAGATGGTGATGGAGCGTAGTCGATGCAGGAAGAGCAGCAGCGAAGGGTGCACGTCATGAAACAGGTTCCTGGTCTGATGGCTCTCAGTCCGGAGAGGAAGGCTGATCTTAGTGGTCCAGCTGAAAAGAGAAGAAGACAAAAAATTAGACCATGGGTCTAATGTGAGCAGCAGACTGCTAATAAAGTTAAACAGATGTTTTGGCTTCCCCATAACCAAACTAAATTACCTGTATTATAACAATAAACAAGGAATACAACTATTTATACTAGAGTGGGGACATAAACAAAGAGGGTCAGACTCTGACGCAGGGCAAATTATCGTGAGACCACGCTTGCAAAAAGCAGAGGAACGTTTAGCAGCTGACCTACAAACAATGTGCCAATTTATGCACACAGACACAGTCAGCGTTTCAGCGATCCACTGAGAGCCCCACAGATTACAGGGCAACAAATGAGCAGACCTGACCAAGAAGCTGACAATGCAGATGCCGTTTGTTACTTTGGATCTCACAAACATGAAGTATATAGGGAGATGACGGTAAAGATGGGTTTTAGCTGCACTTTGTAGTGTAGTTTATCACAACTGTGTAATATTGAACTCCAAAGTTAAAATAAGAGGTTTGTTTTTCGAAACAGCTCCAAGAAAGGCACTGGTGTAAATACTGAAACTGGTAACAGATCAATTCAATTTAGCTGATCGACTCTCAGGGTACTGGGATCAATAAGTCATCTGACCTGTGCTGATTTATGTCCCTCAGCTGTGGATCCAGAGGCCTCGTATCTTCAGTCCAGTGGGGGAGGATGTATCCCATGGGGCCACAGTTCTTGTCAAAGTGCAAGTGGAAACCATTGGAATGAATCTCAGGACAGTCTGTGACCTTAAACACTGACTTGAAGCCAATGCCCTTCTGTCCTGTACGAAGTAAAACAGGCGAACGTCATTTGTCTATGTGGTTTTAAGTTCTCCAACACTACACACAAAAAATTTAAATTCCTTTACACAGTTGTAACGGTGGAAGAACGAAAGAGGGCCAAATGCAGTTACCAATGTATCCATATTTGTGTTTTCCCTTAGTGCTGCGGCCTACATCACAAATAGCCCGAATGTTCTTCTCCTGGAAGCCGGTTTCATTGTTGAGGACAGTGATACAGTCTCGCTCCACCATAAAAGCCAGCGCTGGAACGACCCCGGACTCTGCCGGGTAACTGTTGTCGTCGGCATTCTGAAAGAAAGGAATACAAAGAGTTCGGAGGAAATTGGACAAAATTCAAATCAAAGTACTAAAGCAAAGAAGTTTCCTTTCATAGAATTTTAGACCCACAATCAAACTGCTGTTTTTTGTTTTACAGATCTTTGAAAACTATTTTTATCCTTCCTGATTTCTTATTTTTTCTTATTTGTCACACTGGCCACGTTTCGGTTCATCAGACAATTTTTAAGATCCACCAAATTTACCAACTCTCAACAGTATTGCTTTAGTTTCCAAACATTAAGCTCATGTCAAAGCATCTCAATCGGATTTAACTCGGGACTTTAACTAGGCAACGCTAAAACCTTCATTTTGGCCTTTTTTAGCCAATCAGAGGTGGACTTGCAGGTGTGTTTCAGATGATTTCCATACTGTATTACCCAAGTGCGACAAGACAAGTGAGGCCTGCACTTCTTTAGAAGTTGTTCTGGGTTTTTATGATCTATAATCTTGATTTAAAAACTGCATATTGTATTAACTCGGGTTATCTTCGTATAATCTTAAAATACGTTTGATGATATGAAACCTGAAAGTGTGACAAATATAAAAAATCTAAGAATTCAGGATGGAGAAACTTCTGGAAGCTTCTGATAAACACGTTCAGATTTCTACCTGAATGAGCTCCAGGACGAAGTGTGTGTCCTTGCTGTAAAGTTCAGTGGAGAGGCGGTCTAAGCTGCGGCCCAGTCGCTCCTGGTGGACCTGCATCAGTTTCTGGCCTTCAGCTGTCAGTTTCACCCCGATGCCAAACTCACTTTTCCTGTCAGAGAGAAAGAGGAGACCAAAAAAGAGTGACAGAGCAGCCACAACCAAATCATGACACTTAAATGGACAGAGCAGTTATGGATAAAGGTGACAAACCTGATGTCTTCAATGACGGCTCTCTGGATTGTGTCCTCGGACTCACAGCTGTCACCCTCCTTTTCATCTCCGTCAGACATTTTGAGCTGTTCCTCGCCCTGGCCTCCTTCAGCGTCGCTGCTGACGTCTGATATCTCTCCGTTAGGCACCGAGGCCAACTCATACAGCTGCTCTTCATCCTCTTCCTCCTCCTCAGCCTCTATGTCTTGCTCATCGTTGACTTAAAGAACACATTTGGTAAAAGATGTCAAAAATGGAAGCAGATTATAATCTTTCGCAGTGTGAAAACAGTAATAAAGTTCAAAATCCTGCAGTGGAGAGCCACTTTCAATCACCTTGGTGTGGGCTGTGGTACAGCTGGGAGGATTCAAAGCTGTTGTCCATGATGTTATCCTCAAGAAAGTCATCTTCACTCATGTTGAGAGCTGACAGACTGCTGCACTCAGAATCTGTCAAATTAGACTGAAGACATAAGAAAGGTAAGAAGAATAAGTTAATAACAGAAATATGCTGCTGAGCAACAGTGTGCAACATTACAACTAGTAGACAACATTGTTGAGCATTTCTTCACATTTCTGTATTTTTACTGCTTTGTACTTTCCACACAATTCAAATAATTAATTAATAAATTTACTGTGCTGTCACTGACCAATCAATCTGATCAATGTGACTTAATGGCACCTCATTGGTTAGCGCTGTTTCCTCACAGCAAAATGGATCTGTGAGGAGCTCCACATTTTTATACTGCATGATTCAAAGTTCAAAATAATCCTTAGTAATTTAATAGTGGGCCTTTGTGTAGCCGTCCAGTTAATCCACTGTCTGAAACAAGCTGATTTCCCTTTAATTGTACATTTTCTAATTACCCTCTGCAGAATTTTAATAAAACCACCAGGAGGCTGCTCACGTGCAAACAGCCAGAGTTGCGTGCCTAAAATGACTTGCATCGGGAATATCACTGAAATCTACGAACAAGTATTTGGGCCGTGTTAAGAAAAAAAATTATTATCGACCTTTTTGAGAATAAGGTCGAAATTGTATTTCGAAAAAAAAAAAAAAGTAGAAATGTGGAGATTACAGTTGTTGTCTCAAAACAAACTGCCACAGCTGCCCTGGGAGTGAAATCAAACTTCAGAATCATTTTCAGTAACAAGGAAGGAAATGATTTCTCTTCAGAACGTAAACATATTGTGTGATGAGAATAAGGATGTAGAAAAACAGAAAAACACACGAATGTGGGAGAGTGGATTTGTACAAAATGAACAGCCCGGTAATGGACAGATGCAGTTATGATAGTTATGGATGTGCAACCAAGACGATGTATGTTGTATCACAAGTTGGCTGATCAGTTTGTTTAACAGTGCATTTTGTAGAGGGTTATATGTAGATGCAGTAATCTCCACATTTCAACCTTTTTCTCTAAATACATTTTAGTGTTTAATCTGGAATTTCAAATTAATTTTGAAAATGATTAACAATATTTTTTTTTCTTGATGTGACTCTGTCCTAGAAATCATACAAGAGTCAAGAGTGGAGAAAAAATGTCTAGAAATCCAGGTTTTTGGCTCACGGGACCTATTTTATATACATTCTATTCAAACGTTAGCTATCCAGCAGTTTACATCTGCCCTTTAAGAAGTCTCTGATGCAGAAGAAAATATAGATATCTTCTATATCTAGTGATAATAAGTCTCAATTCTGAACCTCAAGAGTTCCTTTTGCGCAATAAAAATGTTTAAACAATGCTGCTTTGTCGTGGCAGCAGGGCTTTGGCATTATACCCTTAAAAAAAGCAGACTTTCCACTAGAACCAGTTCTTATATGTTGCTTTTTTCCCCTTTTTTCTGTTTTTCTCTTACTATTACTGCTTACTTTACAACTCAGCTATCATATACCGCATGCCATTTTTTATGTTATTTGAGCAGCAGTGAGATTCCAGTATACTCTAAATACATAGTCCATAACTTTGTGGATTGATGTTGTGCTGATATATGTCACTGACAAAAAGGACTCTTCAATTCCAGTGTAATATATAAGCTACATTTATAGATTCCCTCGCTTGTGTTCTGACCTTGGCTTGGTCCACAGGTGCTGAGTATGTGTTACAGCTCTGGCTTTGAGGTGGGTTCAGCTTTTTCTCGTAGTCTTTGATCCAGTCTGGGATGCCTAGAAGGATGCCCAAACGATGCAGACAGTTCATGTACCTCGGCTCCGACTGAGCCACGGTCATCAGGACCCGTTTAGATTTGGCCTGGCCCAGGACACGGGAGAAGGGCTCCAAAAACACCTGGAAGAACATAAATGCCAGAATTTTAAATGCACATGACCGTGATGTTTGATTACACATATTTGTTATGTACATTGTATTGTACAAATTGTTGCAAAGCAAAAGGAGACAAGATGTTGCAGACAACTTGAGAGAGCTTTAGCTCTGAGATGTCCAACAAGCCATCTAAGTCTGTGGTTGGCATGACAACTGAATAACAGCCTCCTCTTCAGCGATTTAGCTGAACAAACTAAATTCAGAGGCTAAAGCTGCCCACTCATGTGTTCCAGGACACACTGAAATGTTGTCGCATGTTCCCTTTTTGTTGGTTGAAAGCTGTTTACTGGAATCATCAACACATAGTGCCAGCATCGATGTCCAATAACACTAAATATGATCAAGGGTTTGTTGTTTGTTGTGCCAAAGAGCACAAACTAATCAAAACATCAACTAGATTTCAGTTGGATATAAATATACAACATATCAGATGTTGAATTTCTAGCCTTCTGCAGAAGACATGAGATGCATTTTTCAGCATCCACTCCTGACCTGCAGCAGAAGAGCCTGACAGGTTCTGGTGGGGATTCGTGTGAGACACTCCAAGAGGAACTTGGCAACTTTGTCGTAACATGACACATCCTCCTCAGCCATGGACAAATCTAAACGACACAAATTCTGTTAGTCCAGTTGTGCTTTACTCTTTTCTATGGAGCACCATGATTTTCCATCATCTATCCTGTTAAATACCTACCTTCTTTAGCCACAGCTGCTGCCAGAGAGCTTTGCATGTGGTTGCTCAGGAGGGCTATGGGAGCATTAACTATTCCGTCAGCTACCACCATGGACACAAGGTGGCCAGCTGTGCCCACAGGATCGAGGGCCGTAGTGGCACTAGAGAAGTGCTTGTCTCCTGTGTCTGTGGTGACCCTAAACAGCACACCGGGGGTGACCTCTAATGCTGCTAGGCCCGTATTACCTGTGCAGTAAGTAAAACATGAAATCACCCATTAGTTGTTGATGCCTTTGTATTGCTGCTAATTGCTCAAGAGGACACATCAAATTTAATTATCACAGCCTGAATACCCAAATGATGCAGACAGCTTATGTGTCTCGGTATGGAAGAAGATTACGGCAACTAGGAAAAATACAAGTGGGCACGTCTTCTTTTTCTTTTCCGCAATCAACTTCTGTTGTTTTTAATTCAAATTCTGAATTATTTTTTTCTCAGAATTCTGACTTTAATCTGCGAATTCTGAAATAGTTTTTTGTTTGAAATTCAGCTTTTATTCAACTTATATTTTTTTCATTCAACTTCTCTTCTGTGTTTTTCAACTTCTGTTGTTTTTATTCAGCTTCTGGTTTTGCAAAGTCCTTGTTAATTTGGTAAATACTTTATCACAGCTGTTCCGATGAGGCTGTAACGGACGTGCTTATTGAGACTTTGGATGTCTGAATGAATGTGTCAATTGCTTTCATAATGTTCTGTGTTTTTATTCTAATATCCATACTGATCTCTGGAATTTATTCTCCATATAATAACACTACAAATGTCTAATAAAAATTAACAACTGACTAAACTACAATTAAACATCTTCAAAAGCTAAAGTGGAAAAACCAAACCAAAAGGTGAAAGGATAAATGTTTCTCTGTGCAATGTGAGACACAGTGGTGATCATCCTTTCCTTTAATGTTAAAACTTAGAATATGCAAACTAAGGCCTTCAACAAATAAGGTTATATTTATCTTAGTAAGAGCTTGCAGGAGCTCAAAGTGCAGGACCCAACTGCAGCACAGCCGTAAACGTGGGAGCAGCTGTGTGTGGCACTGCTGCAGTTTTCAGCTACACTTCTTGTTGCAGTCACAGCAGTGCTCACTCTGTGTCTTCCACATTTATTTTACAGTATATAACTTAATCTAATCATCTGTTTATTTTACAGTGTGTAGTCATGTTTATGTTGAAATGAGTGCACTGGTACGGTTAGTTACGTCTCACCTTGTATCGACTGCCCTCTTGTGGACTTAATGTGATAATCAAACATGATTTCTACACACGTTTGGCACTTTTTGACAGCAGAAACAAACATTTTTTATTTATATCTTTAAATCGAAACAAGGCTTTGTTTGTGCTTAATTAGCTGAACTGAATGGCCGAAGGTAAAAATAATGCACTCTATATTACCAAGGATTCATTCTGGATGAGCTGTAGCTCAGCAAGTATGACCTGCTATATTTCCTGAGCTACAGCCACCCCATACATCACATTTAGTTGAGTTTAAAAAGTCTAAAAATGGTCATGTTCAAAGCAATATGCCTCGTGCCTACCTGCATTTTTTTCAATGAATTCCTTGAGGGAGCCGTGAAGGGGTTTAAAGATCAGCTCCCACTGGCTCCACTCACTTAAATCCTCCAGCAGAGGGCAGGAGAGCAAGCTGGCCAGGGCCTGGTCCTTGGACATTTCACCAAGCCGACCCACTGACTCAAATCCACCTTCAGCACTGTTCATGGATGTGAAAGACAGAAGGATAAAGGCAACTGACATGAAAACTGGACCTGTGAAATGATGGGGAGTTTATCTTTAAGTCATTCATCCTCCCATAAGGTTTTCTCATTTTAAAGGGGACCTAGCATGCTCACTACCAGCTCTACATATTTATTGTTGGACTCTACATGTCCAGGCAGAGCGGCTTTGTTTGATTCAGAGTTCATAGCAATCCTTATTTATCTTAATACTAAGCCTTGGTACAGTGTGTCTGAATCAAGCCATTTCACCATGTCTCCATTTAAGGCTGCTGTCCCTTTTAGCTAACCTCTTCTAATTAGCTTCTCCTCACAAACAGAAGGTTTGAACAGCAGGTGGGTGGAGCCTCTCACTGACACACCGTGCCAGAAGTAGAAAAAACAAACAAAGCCTGAGTTTTTGCCTCCACCACTCTTACAGATATACAATAAACATAAGGAAAAGCATAACATTACAAATCCTTCCCATATACTGAGGTGCATTTCTGTCTGTCTGGTGATAGGCTTCTAACCTTGATTTGCCTTGTTTAGCAAACAGGGCTGATTCATAGCAGACTGGGCTCAGTCCTCCTCCACCCAGTGCTTTTTGGCGTTGGACCAGGTCAGCCAGTCTGTGCAGAGGACCATGCCCCAAGTCACGACTGTCCCGGACCCCATAGTGAGACCTCAGTGCTGACTCAATGTAGGAGAGCTGAGGAAACACAGTTGCAGTGTAGTTTTAGAACATCTACTGTGAAAAAAGGTTGCTGTATCTGTGTCTGTTTTTATGACTCACTTCATCTGGATCGGTGGAGGCTACGTCGCCGCACTGTTTGATGAACTCAAAAACATCTTGTTTGGAGGGTCTGAAGCCACTGCCGGCTCGCTCCATGCTGCTGCCCAGAATCAAGGTGGACCCCACTGTGTCCTGCAGCAGCTGCACACAACCAACTTGTTATCTCCTTATTATGACCGCAAATTCTTTTGCTTTGTTAATTTGGTCCCATACCTGCGATTTGCAGAGTTAAAGTAAATCAAAAATGAGAGAACTACCTGAATGTTGTTCACCAAAAACTCCAGGAAGCTGCCTTTCTCTAAAGACAGGAAGTCTTTCACGTGGAAGTGTTCAGACAGTTTTTTCTCCAAGGAAGCAATGTGTGCCAAAGTGATAGCGGAGTTCTGAGCAGCCAGTTTGTCCCTTAGATACTGCTTCACTTTGGCTGAGAAATAGAGAGCAGAAATGTGCATTTGCCATTTAAAAATATAACAGATTCATGTTTAGGATAGGATAAGCTAATATATGTGTAACATCTTGCGTTAGAAACCTTCGCTTGGGAGAGATTTGGTGGATTTGTCCTCTGGTTTAGTTTTTTCTGTGGGTTTGGAGGTCTTGTCTTTGGGCACTAGGTCGTGTGGAACAGCCAGGGATCCCCCACAGATGGCCAGCTGAAACAGAGCTGTTTCTAGCCGATTACCTGACACCTGCAGCAGGAAGTTCTGGACGTGCTGCATCAGAAAACAAATACAGCTTTGTGTCAGAGACGTCCCATGAGCGCAGAAATAAAACAGGCACACCTAGCTTCTCTGTTGCTTCTCTCTCTGCTCAGAGCAAACGCAGACTTCAATCTCGTATGTGCCATTACTGTGTGTGGAGGCTGTTTATTATATCTAAGAACTGACTCTGAAAAAAACAAACAAACTAGAAAATCTTTTCCAAAAGTCTAGTTTTTCTGATAAATGTGGACGGTGTGAAATCTGAAACCTGCTTTGCTATTACCTGCCAATTTGGACTAACACATTTCCAGCACAGTCTTGTCTTTGTTTTTGTTTTTCACTTGTCTGTTCTGGGGCAGAATGTGAGGTCTCGCTTGGTTTACAGCAAATATAATAGAAACACAGGCATAGTTTGGGCACTGATGCTCAATGTAAGAATTGGTGTGTGTTTACTTTGAGTAACAATCCCACAACTCTGTGTTTTTTCCATTCGTCTTTTCATATACAAGAGGTGAAAACCACCTTTTCCATGGAGTATGTGTCACTGATAATTCCTGTAAAATGATCCACAGTAGGTTGGTTTCTCTGATGAAAACCGGCAAAAGCTGTTTTACATGCAACCAAAATTCTTTAGGAGGCGTGCATCACCATTCAGATTGGGCCACATTTGTATAGGCTTTACATTTGTAAAGCCACAGCGCATAATTACTATATATAGACAGCACTGCAGGCCAGTTGGCCAGTCTTTTACAGGCCTCATGTATTATCTTACTGGTCTGCAGAAAAAACAAAACATCTACTAGTATTTTAAGTACTTTAGATGCCATCTTAATTTATAATCAAACAGCATTACTAATTACTATACTTCTATCTTATATGAATAATCCAAATCTGTAAATTAAATAGAAACTACATTTTTAAAATAACAAAATAATAGATCAGTAATAGAAAGAGAGGGGAATAGGTGCTCTCAGCAGGCAGCAAAGTGCACCTTCATATGTCATGTTATGTTTTTGAGTTTATGGACTTTTGTTTTGTTGGTGTAACTTTTTTTGGGCATTTATTCAATGGTAGAGCAGTTAAGAGAGACAGAGAAATGGGGAAAAGACACACAGCAAAGGGCCCCGGGTCAGAAGCAGGGCACACCCCGGACAGGTCACCAGCCTGTTGCAGGTCTTCTTCATGTATTTAGTCTCTAGTTCCTGGTTGTACTTGGGTTTAGTTCTACTCTTAGTGATTGTTTTTTCTTCCTCGTGTGTCACTTCCCCTGTATTGTTCATTTGTGCATCTGTGTTTCCCTGTTCAGTTATCACTGCTCACTTCCTGTTTGATTTTGATAGATATTTGCTCCCTGTGCCTTGCTTTTAGTTTTATCTTCCAGTCTCTTGTATGTATGGACCGAGCTGGGATGTATCGTATAGACATACTAGAGACAGCTTTCATTTCTATTTGTTCTTAATACAAAACAGTGTTGGCCGCTTACTTTTCTTCATGTTTGAGCTTGTTGAACAGGAGTTTTTGTCATCACATAATATTATCCTGACTATATGAAGAAAACAAAACAACACTACTTGCTAGTGAGCATTCACCTCAGCCAGTTGGATTCACAGGTAACATATAAAAATAAACATATAAACCACTTCTTACTAGTTATGTGCCGTCAGTCACATAACTCAAGTTACAGCCCTGCTATAACTCATTCACACCTAAATGCTTTAGTCTAGCTATTAAAGTTGTAACCAACTAACACACGCTCTCACTCAAACTTTGATGGATGCTTTAGCGTCATTCTGTGACCCTCTTACTGGCGAATGACCCAGTCCAGATTCAGTAACACAAGACATCTGTCAGTGTGTGACACCCACCTTGGCCATCCTGGGGCTGAACACCTCCCCTGCATTTGTAAAGACCGCCAGCACGACCTCGGCCGCTGTCATTGAGGCATACTTCTTTGAGAGATCCGAGCTGCCCGCAGAGGAGAAGGAAGCTGCTCCTTTCAGCGGCTCCAAGATGCTCTTTTTGAGTTTCCTCAGCCGCTCGTATATCTCCTCCTCCAGCTCTTTCTGAATCACCTCCCTGGCATGCTCCAAGATGGTGTGCTCGTTACGGCCTACCTTCGAGATTGTCTAGAGTAGACAAATGTGTTTGTGTTTAATATGAGAATAATGGCAAAGTATAGCAGGTTAATCTTTACCCAAAATACAAGTGAAGTCGTTTTTTTTGTTATAAGTTCACCCAATGAGATTTCCACACATCTCTCTGTTTGTCATAGTTAACACTTAACAACGCATGGACAGTGGGGTTCACAGAGAAGAAATCACAGCATTATTCATTAAATTTAGCAGTTACTTGAAACTACCTTCAGGAAAAGAAATAATCAGTGTGGTCCCAAGCGGACACAGACCACAGCCGGAAGCAGAATAAAACAATAATTCATGCTGGCACTTTAACTCGATCCCAAGCCTCCCTGTATGTTTGCCAAGAAGGTTCATCTGGGAGGATACCCAGGCTGTGTGGAGTGTGGCTGTGGATGCACATGCAGCTTGTGTAACCATAATATGTCCCAGCAAATATGTCCCAAACCTCTGCTGATCATAACTCATCAGTAAACCGTCCTGGAATGTAGCAGAACATTGTGCTTCTTACCGATATGGGCAGGCCAAGACCAGTTATCCTGATGCCCAGCTCGTATGGAGAGTCACAGTTATAGTGGTCAGCCAGATGCTTCATAAACTCAGCCAGGTCCACTTTTACCTTCGTCTGCTTCCTCCTAAAAACACGAAGTTGCTAAACAAAAGAATGGAAACGACATATATTTATGACATATACTGTAACTGTAAAACATAATTTAACAACAACAACAACAACAACAAAATAAGCTCTTATAAACATTAAAGCTCAAGTGCAAAACAAAACTGAATCCCTGTGAATGCACCTTTAAGATGTCTACAGTCTCGATCTGGTGGATATCGTCATCTTTCGTGTTGCTGTCAATCTTGAATATGCGGTGAATGAAGGGGAGCTTGCAAAGGGGGCCGAGGTTTAGCTCTTCGTAGCGCTTCTTGTCCTTGAGGCCAGCTAATGACTGGCCCAGCTCATACAGGGTACAGATGGATGTCACTGCTGAGGTGGTCTGGGAGAAAGAGGACAAAATAAAATTCAGTTTGGCAACCTGACAGTGAGAAAACAGGTGAAAACTAATGCGTGCCAACCTCTATGAACATGTTGATCTCTCTAATGAGGTACTGAAGATCTTTTAGAGCTTTAAGAGGCAAGTGCTCCACCCCTCTTGGGTCCAAAGAAGGCACCAGCCTGCATACCCGGGATATCACCTGGAAGCAGGAATGAAAGGCAGTGAGAGGACAACAACAAAATCAAACGCAGCGAGTTAGTCCAAATGTAACAGAGTGAAACATGACTCATTGTGGGAAGCACAAGCCTAGCGCACCCGTAGTGATGGTGCCAAGCCCAGATAAATGGGAAGGGCCAAATCAAATATCCTCTTGGAAACTTTACAGCAGATGAGAAACAAAGATGCAGCTGAAAAACAGCTGGTGATAAACTAAAGGAAAAACAAGACAGAAGAAAACTGCAAGCGAGAAAACTGGCGTAAATAAATATGTGTGTATATCAGGAAGACCAAAGATATTGATGGTAACCTGGGTTAGAAACAGTGTAGTCTGTGAGAATAATTTAATGTTGCATAACAGACTAAATGATTAGGAAAATGATCAAATAGCATATTATGCACAGCTACACAGTAGAAAAAATAAGTATAGTTCGTCCTCACCTTCTTTGTGGTGACCAGCTCTCCATCCCCAGCGATTTCTCGTATGACACTCTCCATCAGAGTGTTGATGGTATCCTGATCCATGTCCCTGTTTCTCCACCTCCCATTGAAGTCCTCCTGGTCTGCTTCCATGGCCTCCACAGCTCGCATATTTTCTCCAAGGAGCTCCCTGAGCTGTGCATGATAACCTTTATTAAAGACAGGGCCACTGCCTTCTCTCGGGCTGGCATCCCTCACTTTGGTCTTCTGCTCTTTGGTCAAACTCCGATCTGCCCCCAGCACTGGAAAATCAGAGGCAGACAGGAAGCTAAGCCCACTGGCCTGTTCCTGTTCTTTTTCAGGTTTAGGACTCTGTGTTGCTGTGGGAGGATAATACAAACTATTTAATTAATATGGACTATTGAGAATCTTTACCTTTTATGCTTGAAATGGAATGTTTTGATGTTTGGCTACCTGCAGCGGTCTGCCACACCCCAGTCTTGGGATGAGTTGTTGGCTGAGACTGAGTGGGGAGCTTCTTGGCTTCCCAGTTGTCGTACAGTGACATGTACTGGGCAAGAGGAAACTTTTCACCAAACTTCTGAGAATAGCAGGTTTGAAGCTGTTCCATTGATGGAGCAGTTAGCTGGTACGTCCCCATCACCTGAAACACATCAATAAACTTTTACACACCAACTGGTTTCCATAGGCAAATACCTGCTATAACACAGTGTACTGCAGAAGCCAAAGTCCAGTTTTAAGAGTACATTGGTAGAAGATGAGTTCATTCAGATACAAGCTTGTAATGCATAAATGGAAAACTCTATTAAGAACTTCCACAAAGCTCTCTGTGTCTGGCAGTTTTTTGCATATTTCAACTGTTTTAATGTAAGACAATCTCACAATACATTGAAGTGAGCAAAGCATGCTTTATGTTTTCACATTCTTAGGTGAGAAAACGACTTACAGATGGCTTCAACCAAATTAAGTAGTGAGAGGGAAAACGAGCTGTCTCTAACTGCATCCTTCTATTTAGTTTACAAGCATGGGTGTGTTCCCACTATCAAATATAACTACATTAATGGGTTTATGGAACTGGATAATGTACTTAAAGCAGTAAAACTGCTGATTGCTGAACTCCTCTATGTCAACGGTTGTGATGTTGCAAAACTGGAAAGGAAGGAACGATCAGCTAACAATATTAGGAAAACTACTGATGGTGATGCCAGTGTTATATATATATTTATTAGGGTTTGTGTATGATCGACTGTTTTCTTCACTATATAAGTAATACTGAGTAATACTGAGTAATATTACGTGTAGTCAGAGGTATGAGGAATGGAAAATGTTGTCAAAATCCAAATGAAATCGAATGCTGCAAATACAAATGCAAAACTCTGCATGGTCAATCTGGGACAACCTTGTCAAAATTTATGTACTAAAAAAAATGTACCGTATACACAGGTAGTGTGAGACATGTTTACGCTAAGTGGACTTTTTAATTCATTTATCCTCCTGCAATGAAAACTCATTACTCTGTAAATTAAAATAACCCCACCAGGAATATTACCCCCCAACCTAAGCATGTCAGGGAACATTTTAGGCCTCTTTTTATATTTTCATCTTCGCGAGCTAACAGAAACGGGACTGAGAACTATCTATAAGAGATGGTAGATGCTCAGCTGCTGACTGTATTCTAGTTTACTGTTTAGGCTAACCAGTAAACACATTTGAAAAAAAGCATTCTTTACTATCTTTACATTAAAAAATTCAGTTTTTTATCTTGTGCTTTTGTTTTATTGTTCTTCATTGTGTCATTGTTCTATTATGTGTTTTATCCTATTATACAGTGTCCTTGGGGGTTTTGAAAGGTGCTTTATATATAAAATGTAGTTTATTATTATTATTATTATTAATAATAAATTATGATTCCTTTAATGTCTGTACCTTTTAACTTAAGAGGCAACTATTAGCCTCAAAAGTATTGCAGATTTTTACTCGTTTAAGATGTCAAGATAGTCAGCATCAAACTGTAAAGATAAAAGATGCCTATATATATATATATCTATATATATATAGTATCAGAGTGCACAGCTAACCTCTAAGATCCTCTGGTAGAGCTGCTCTTGGGACAATTCCTCAGCTGGCTGGGGTACAGTAAGAAGGGGAATAACAGGAACATAATGGGAGGAAGATACGGAAGCAGTGGAAATCAAAGGAGATCCAAGAAGGTTCATTCTTGCCTGAGTGGGAGGAACAATCTGAGGACTGGCATCACGCTGTGGTAGAGTACGAAGGGCAGGGCTACTGCTCCTGATAAGCGAGTCAGGCGTACGTGGTGTTGTAGGTCTGCTGTTCTCTTTAGTCTTCGTGAACATCCCAGCCTGAGGCTGATTGTGAGGCCGGTGACTCTTATGGTACACCACATCCTCCACCACAACCAGATCTTCATTCAAAGAGTCTACCAGGCTGGAAACTGTTTTGAAGTCCATAGAGACTAAGGAGACGTCATGGCTGTATTTCTGTTGATAGGCTGCAGTCAACAACTTCAGAGGGATCCCATCCGGATGTCCTTTCATCATTTTCACAATTCTCTTCAAAGTCTTACATCTTTTTTTCACTTCGGGAGCTGTTGCTGATTCCTTACTTTGAGCTGCAGCTCCACATTTGGCTCCAGCTGTCGCCTGGTTTCCCCCACGATGGTCCCTATGAAACACCAGTTCTTCTTCTAGAACCAGATCCCTCTCCATCGAGGATACCAGGCTGGTCATGGAGTCAAAGCCCAGTTTGGATAAGGTCAAGTTCTTGTGATATGTCTGGCTATAGACGATAGCCAGCTTTTTAAGCGGGATCCCATCAGGGTGCTCCCTGACAATGGACACTAGCTCCGTCCGAACTTTTTCCATCTTGAGTGACACTATCAGGGAGAAAAGAGACCAGGACAATATGATTATCTGCTAGAAATATAGCTTGCTGTATAGTAAGTAAATAAGTAAAACTTTATTTATATAGCACCTTTCTAGATAAAAGACCACAAAGTGCTTCACGCAAGGATAACAAAGTATAAAACAAAACAGACAAGACTTAACAAAATGCAATTCTAAAAAAATGTGCTTTTAGTTGTTTTTTAAAGGAAGCTACTGAGTCCAGAGATCTTAAGCTCAGTGGGAGAGAGTTCCACAGTCTGGAAGCCACCGTGGCTAAAGCTCTGTCTCCCTTAGTTCTCAGCCTTGTATGATGAACGACAAGTAGGCCCTGATTACATGACCTAAGAGACCTGCTAGGGACATGGGGCTGTAGAAGTTCAATGATGTAGGCAGGAGCATGTCGATGAAGAGCTCTATAAGTCAGAACCAGAATCTTGAAATGGACTAAATTCAATGGGGAGCCAGTGCAGCTGTATTAGCAACAGTGTCACATGTGAATACTTAGATGTTTTGGTCAGAAGTCTTGCTGCAACCTTTTGAACCATCTGTAGACGCTCCAAGGAGTTTTTGTTTAAACATGTAAACAGTGAATTACAGTAGTCCAGTCTTGATGAAATGAAAGCACCAATGACAATCTCCAGTTCAGTACGAGATACAATGGGGCTTAGTTTAGAAATGTTTCTTAAGTGAGAAAAGCAGGACCGAAGTTAGTGTTACTGTGTATACTGTGTTTGGCAGTGTACTTAATGTGTTAACCAGCTATTAACCAGTTTCGAAATGGTGGCGCCACTGCTCTAAGTAATCGCTGATAAATTTATTTTTACAGCCAAATGTAAAAATGTCCAACTCATTGAGAGCATGTTCTTCATGTTGTGTGTTTATATTTATACGGTGTTTAAAATTACTTACACATCAAGGTTAGAATCTGTCTCTAACACATACGCCCTGAAAGCTCCAGTGTAAATGTGGCTATAGTCAAATATAATTATATAATTAATTATTATATTATTTTGATGTATATTTCAATGGCTTCTTATGTTCTCCAATACCATGTTTTAGATTGTATGATAAATGAAAATGTAAATAAAGGCAGGTATTTGTTAACCCAGAGAATGACTCAACTTTACATGTTCACATTCCCAGCAGTCAGCTGTTTTATCATAAGGTTACAAAGCCATTGCCAAATACCTGCCTGGCATAACAAGACAGACAGCCAAAACTAACAGTTGCTGCAGATTGCCTGTTGCTGTTGAAGCTGGTGGCTGCCAGCTGATGCATGCATAAGGACGGTGAGAAGGTAATTCATAGGTGAGGTGTCTTTTTACTAAGAAGGGTTTGCTTTACTTTCTAAGATGCGTAGTGTATTTACTCAACACTGTGAGCTACTGTTTTGTTGCTTTGAGCATTTCATTGCATGTCTCGCATGTCTGAACTTAACCGTTAAATACAACAATAAATATTCAACAGTGCGTGATTTAAGCTACAGCCCAAATTTAGCAAAAATTTAGCTTAGTTTGGAAAAAGAAATGCCATAAATTCCTCTTGTGAAATTACGCTGCTGGTGTGAACGGCTGCATTAAGAAGAAGTGATTCCGAAAAAACATTTTTAATAGACCAAATATTCACACAAATTTTACATGTCTGGTGTCTAAAGGTCTTTATTATTTATGATCACACATGATCTGAAATGAAATCTATCACTCCCATCTCTGTAAATATAGATAGATGCTTCCAATTAACAGCACACATACTGTCATTATATTAATGCTGCTATCCTGTATATATTGTACATACTATTGTTTGAGTACTTACGATTGTTTTTTTGTACTTTTTATATTTTACATTTATATTTATTATTGAAACTTGCACCAAGGGAGTGGCACTCCAATTTCGTTGTACTCTGTACAATGACAATAAAGGCTATTCTATTCTATTCTATTCTATTCTATTCTATACAGTTCCACAAGTCTTTGGACAATAAGACTGTTTATAATTTTGCCTCTGAACACAACCACGGTAGATTTGATTTTAATCAACCACCATGGTGTGAATGCAGTGCAGACTTTCAATTTAATTCAAATGATTTAACAAAAGTTAAATTAACTGTTAAGGAATTGCAGCCATTTTTATACATACTCTCCCATTTCCAAGAGGCTGATCGTTAATGACTCTCACACCAGTATTAAAAACACTCCTTTATATTTAAAGTTAAGACGGTTGTTTGTCCAGTTACTTTTGAGCTACTGGCTTTTCTTCTTCAAGGACTTTGTGTCAATGTGTTTTACTTAAATTAAACTAGCGAAATGTGCAGGTTTTAATGCTCAAATGTCCAAGATTAAATTAACACTAAATCAAACTGTTGTGGCTACTAATCCTGTGCACTAGTCAATGTTTTATCACTGGTGGCAAACACTAAATGTGCAGGACTGTGAATAAAATGGCACTAGTTATATCAAAATAGCAATAAGTGAGAACATGTTAACCACAGAAGCAGATTATGTTTTATCCAAAAGAACCACAATGTGTTTGCTGATGACTACCCTTTGTGAGTTTACACTGTTATCATCTCTGAAAACCAAAAGGCTCTATAAACATATAGACTATATAATAGTTATATGTGTGCATAAAATACAGCCAATAGTACAAAAGTGCTTGAATCAGAGCAATCTTACCTGTTCCTTCAAATGATAAGATCTGCACTCATCTCTCCCTGAACAAAGACATGAACCTGAAACATCCTGTTCAAGCTTAAATACTCTCCTCCTCCTCCCTTCCCTTCCACCCAGCTGTGTTTCGTTTCAAGCATGAAGAGAAATGAAACTGAAACCAACAGCCATGCTCATGTATGCATGTATGTCATGTCTCTGTCCTTAATTGCGATGTACCCACACTCACATTTCCAGAAATGGTCAAAGCATTAATGAAGACTGAGAATTTATAAGACAACACAGTGTAAAGTAAGCAAAAGTGTTCTCTGATTGGCCACTGGAAATTGGGGAGAAAACAAAGAGGGCATGAGGCCTTAGGTTTCACATTCCTGGCTTTTGCTTCAGCTGATTTACATCAGCTGTTGGGTAATAAGCCATGTGACATGATTAGGCTCAAAACAATCCATTACACAAGGAAAGGAAACAGAAAGTAATCACAGCTCTGTGTAGTTCTGGATACAAATGTACATACTTGTGCTGTGCATGTAATAATTACATCATAACTAACCAGAATATTTGGCTCGCACTGAAAAACTTACAGCACAGTAAGTTTTGATCTTACTAAACTCTGTCTGTTACATTACTTCCTGTCAACCTGTGGTGATATAATAAGGCGTGGGGAAACAGAAACACACACAAGAAACTTCAGAGGCCTAAGATGTTCCTGCCAGTCACGTTTGGTTGCTCAACTCCTGTGACGTTCAAAACCCTCTTGGACTATAGAGGGGTAGCGCACAGTCCAAAAAAGTAATCAGTTATCTCAGCCACACCGTTTTCATCCAGTGTCTGAAACAAGTTCTTTTAGCTCTCTTTTCCTCACTTGAGATCCCTCACAAACCAACAACACAAACAGCAGGTGTGTCACTGAATATATAGGGGCGATATTACCTTAATGACATCATGCTGAGCAAAGAGCAATAAAAGGTGAAACAGAGCAGTCTGAAACACACAGGGATTACTCGTACATTCACTGACCTCATTATCTGAAACTCTTGATATGTTTAACATGAAATATCAAACTAAGGACAATTAAAACAGCTCCAATTTAACATGAAATATATTGGAAATTAGAGGCTGGATAGCTTTTAATATAGGCAAAAATGCGGGGCTATTTTACTGACACAGAATAGTATTTGTATAGAATATGATAGTATAGAATATGTATAGTCTGTCAGTGAGAGCATACCTTACAGTGATCAGTGTGCTTCGATCTTCTCAGTGCATCACAATAAACCACGAAGAGTAACAAGTCTTAACTAGTTTACCTCAGCAGAAGTAAAATAGTTATGAGAGTCCATGTGACTTTTGTCCCAGTCTTGTGATATATGATAATTACCCAGCTACCTGAAACAGAGGTCTCCAACCGCCCGTGCAGTTAGACAAGTAGTGTCAAACAGACAGTATATCTGTATGTCATCAGAGCTCTCTTTAATAAGAGCAGAAATGACATGTTTATAACATTATCTAATCAAAATATAAAACTACAGGGTTTACAGTGTGTCATTTAGTACAGCGCAAGTGCTTTTGAGCCTTCGGAGAACAAGAACAAAACATCCACTAAGAAACGACTACTTTACACTAATGTACCTCGTCATTGCATTGCAACTTTTATATTCATATATTCAAAATAATTATTTTGTTACGAAATACTGTGGAAAAAGAAGCAACAACCTAGAACGAAATAACTAAGTGAAAATGCTGTCCATCTACCTGTTATTACGATAACAACCCTTTAGTTACAGTTGTGGGGCGTGTGTCTTAGCCTGCATTCAACATCTCTGTCCGGCAGGATATAAGCATGACAGATACTTATGATGGCTAGCAACGGCGCTATGCTGGCTAGCATTCGAAACTAACAGCAGAAATATTATGAAGTAATAACAATGACATTAGTCGGTCAATATAAAGAGTTACAGCGATTAATCGGGGCGGCACTTGTATTAGGGAATCTTAACACTGTTAAAAAAGTCCAATTTAGTAGAAAATTTTAAATCGAAACTCATTGTGCATGCTAACATCTTGGCCGACTAGCTAGCTACTGCTAAGCTGCATTCACGTTGCTCGATAAAGGTGGTAAAACACCGTTCTCTGCTTTAGAGGCGTTCATGTGCGAAAGCTACTCACAAATAGTATATCACTCACAATCAAATTTGTCACTATTTTGTTTCTAAGTTTGACATATAAAACCAAACAGACATATAAACAGTTTTCAGAGACGTGTGAATGTATATTCTGAGGTAGTGAGGTAGCCTTAGGGCAGCTTTTGTGTTAGACAGTGATATTATCAGTAACTGCTGATCCAGTGTCTGAAACAAGCTGTTTAAGATCCCGTTTCCTCCCCCTTTCCCCCTTTAACACTCCCTTTTCAGTGTGAGATTGATGAATACACGCTTTATATTTTGTGTAATCCCCAGTATCCTATTCTATAAATCATCTATTTATAGTGGGTGTCTGTGAAGAACAAGTATGTCATAAAAAACAAAACAAAAACAGTTGTTTATGAGTTCAGAAACACATACAAACAACAACAAACAAACAAAAAGTGTAAAGTTGAACTTAGGCTTTTCCATTTCTTTGGTTGAATATTTAAAAATGCCGATGACAACAGCCTGATAGACGTCAAACAAACTTTCTTAAAGGCTTAACATGTCTCAGCTTGGCATGCAGGTGTGTCACCTGCTACTCAAGCCTCTTGGTAGTCAAAAGATCGTTGCACTTACTGTAGGAATGTCGTTTGGTGCCTCAACCAGTTCAACCACGTCTGACTCTGTGACTTCAATAAACGTGTTAAACTTTCACTCTTGTGCACTTGAGTCCTCTATTCCTGGAAGCATGTACAAGAAACTTTGAGTTTAAAAGTAAACTCTTGAGTTGATTAACTCTGAGATCAGCAACTGTGAGACCCCGTTTCCAGTGGATGGAGGAATTGTATGCTTGTGTCTGTGCTGACCATGATATTTAACTCACAAAACAGGAGAGAAAAAATAGGAGAGTCGTTTTAATCGGCTTGTTATTTTGTTACAGGCAAAATACAAGTGTGGCATAATGTTATATAATGTAATCTAAAATGTTTTGTAATGTGAATTTCCATTAGATGCACTAATTTTGCATTTAGTTTTTAAATCTAATTATTGAGCTGTGCCGCTGACAGGGCCAAGTGTAGGTCACAACAACTGAAGATAAACATCTGGAGAAACAGATCAGACGCAGACAGTTGTGAGATTAGTTGCCCAGATAGCAACAGACTCTGGACAAATTCAGTTTCAGTTCAATTTATATAGCAGCAAACAGCAACAATAGTTCCCTCAAGGCAACTTTTACTGCAAGTTTAACACTGTTCAATAATAGACAATAACAAACTCCAACAATCAAACAGCACCTCATGAGCAAGCCCTTGGCAGTGATGGGTAGGAAAAACTCCCCTTTAACAGAAAAAACCCTCTGGGACACTCAGGGAGGGGCAGCCGTAATATAATTAGGATAAAAAATAGGATAAAAGACAGAGTGGAAGCGAGCCAGAGATGAATAATAACTAATGATTAAACACAGACTGCTCTAACACACAGTGCTTCTTGATGTCCCCAGCAGGGGGAGCTTCAGGGTCACCAGATCCAGCCCTAAATATATGCTTTAGCAAAAAGGAAAGTTTTAAGCCTTTTTTTGAAGATGAGAGGGTGCCTGTCTCCTGAACCAAAAGTGGGACCTGGTTCCACAGAAGAGGGATCTGACTTCCCTCATTTTTTTAATTAAATAAAATCTGTTTGTGCCCTAATTTGTGACCCTTTCGTTGTTTGGACAATTATTCGGTAAAATACTGAAATCATAAAGGGATGGCACAGCTGATCTTCTGCTCAGTCCTACAATGATCTCTGGCTCAATTTTACGCAACTCAAGAATGCTGAAGTATTTCCACAACCGAATGCCAATTTTTTGGGGGGGGAAACGAATGAAAAATATATGAATTGCTTATAATTGTATTATTATACAATAAATTAAAAGAAAAGTTGCTCTAACTTTAACTAAGTTTGTGTACTGTTGGCTAATACAAAGTCTTAACAGTGGAAAACGTCTTTTACAATGCGGCACCAAGAAATCGCTAATGTTTTAAAATGTTAAATTGAAACAAATCAAACACTTTGAGCCTTTTACACTTCTGACAACACTCACTGCATTTTTGGGAAATGGAAACCACATCAGTGTCACCCTGAAACGCAAGCAGAATGTGTCATCAGGGACATTACACTGTAAAAACTGGTGTGACATAGAATGAGGCGCTAATTGGACAACTGTTCTTTGCAAAATAGCAAAAGGACTGTGTACTGCAGGACAAAGCACAGTAGTTTTCCTCTGACTTTAAGTGGAGCAGAGGAAAGATTTTGAAAGCGTCAGTAAACGGAAATACAAAAAATTAAGTCATTAAATAGTTACATATTTACAAAGATTGCAATCTGTTACATTTGAAACAAGAAAAGAAAAGCGGTGGAAACTATGGGGGGAAAGAGGCATTCCATAATCGTTACTTATGATTAGTTTAAGTAAATTCTTTCCCTACGCACCCACGTGAAAGAGCAAAGAGTTCACGTTCTGACAAAGAAAGAATTTTAATCTAATAATAATTAAGAATCTAATAATTCTGCACTCCCTGTACAAACAATTATGGAACAATCTTGCATTCAGTTACAGCCAGCTTTTACAGCATGACCTTTCAAAGGCTGTCTGTTCAGAACCACACACAAAAAAACCCTGTCTAAACCATTTATATGTTTATGAGCCAAAATGACTTCATAATGATTGCTTAGTTAAGGTTTGCAGCTTGCTACTGAAGGTTAAATAGCAAGCTAAAGAAGCAGATCATTTTGGGTCTGCTAATTCTTTCTTGACAGTACCTTCTTTTCTGTGAGGCTGAGCAATCCCACTGCTGTGAAAGCAAACATGATAATCAGTATGACACCATTAACCGTCACTGGTTTTATCTTCTCATACATTTTGTTTTACTCTGTGTCTTTATGGTCACTTCACAGCCCGTCATGGCAGAAGACTGAGTCCGGTTCTGCAAGATGTATTCTCATGCTTAAATAGTTCTTCCTTCCCACTCTCTCCAAGGGCTTTTTCATAAGGGATAGTCTGATTGTTGCTGTTTTCTGTCTTATACTGAATGATCTTTACCTTATAATCTAAAGTGCCTTGTTACATCCCCCAGGAGGATGTCTCTTCTCCCTACTAACCCTTTCTTTTGTCCAGGCTCCACTTCCTCTGTCCTGATTGGATGCTGCGCAGAGTCCGGCTAATTGGTAATCAGCAGAGCACTATTTAAGGTCTGTGGAGCTGTGCTTCTGTGCCCTCTGGCTATTTTGGTTGCCATACCTGTGCAGGCTTGCATGCCTTTGGATCTTGTATGAGCATTGTTGTTTTCATGTTCAGACGGCTTGTAGGGGAGAGCTGCCTTTTGTTTTGACAACCTGTTTTCTCCTGTTTATGTGTTGTTAGGTAGGTTATGGTTATAGGTTGTATATTTTGTTTCTTTGGAGTTAGGTAAGTTTCTTTTATTTCTACATCAGGGATGTTTTGTTTGTTATGTTGGCCTTGGCTCTCCCTGACGTTATACCTCAGTCTGATCCCATCACCAGTATTAAATAAACCTTCTAAAATTACCATCTTGGCTCCTCCTTCTCTATCCACCTTTATGTTCGTCCCTTCAACCCCCTAGACTAGCCAGGGGACGTAACAGCCTTCAGATGACTGGTGATGTAACATTGCATTGAACTCAATTATGATTTACACCACGTTATCATTGATGTCCTATACACTGCTAGCTTGTACATTCTTTCTAACAATATTGTACATGTAGTAACATTTAACAAACATGACTTAGGCAAGATTTTAGGGCTTTAATCTGGCACAGTGACCACTTTAACAGACAAGATGTACGATCTGAGCTACAGAGGGTAGCATAACTCCTTGCGACACTTCAGAGCATTTGACCAGAAAAACACACAGCACAGGAAAACTTGCATACTTGTGCAGATCTGTGTGCGGATGCAAAAGTATTATATGTAAAGTGGCATTGCACCCAAATGTAAAAACTGTTTCATATTGAATAAAGGCATAAATCTACTTAAGTAATGGAACAAATGTTTGAG